AAAAAAAAAAAAAAGAATATCTGCCAAGTGTCAACAAGAACCTAGATAGTCTTTCATGTAAAATATAGAAGACAAAACCATGTAGGAATAGGTAAGGTGAACACTATAGCTCTAACTCATATTGATTTTTTTGTCTCCACTGGGCAGAAGTGGATCAGGAGTCAACAATACTGCACTTTGAGGCCAAAAGAGGTTGGAGAAAACTATAACAAGAAGCATAGTGCCCAAATTTAGGAATAGGCCTGCTTGGCTCCTACCTCACCCTGCTTTGTAGCCAATCCTTCCACACCCTTTGAGGGGGCGATGGTATTGTTTGTATCCAAGCTCACCTTTTCCCTCTGGTCTTAGGGCCAATTCTGTCCCTCGTCAGAAAAGGATACTGAGGCTGCCTACTTAGCAGCCATTTTCCCCTTTTTTCCCTGCTAAGAAAATCACAATTTTCTCCAGAGAGGAGGCAGCATTGTGCTTCAGGTGATACTAGGCCCCTCCCTGCCCAGAGAGATAAAGCTTGATCCCAAATCAAAACATACTGCCCTACCAATGACTGTTTTGGAACTGATGTACCATATAATACCGGCTAACAAGATGTGAACGGAAGTATACTGGAGGTCCATTTGAGAAAGATTTTCTTATTCCTAAACTGAGATTCACAAAACAGTCCCCTTTCTGGCTGTGGTCATCTGCACATACCAAGTAAAACTTCTGACAACTTGGGATCATAAGGACAGTCACCTTAGAAAGATAAGCCAACACATAAAGCTGGCAAAGGAGAAAAAAAGGAAAAACTTCATGTCCTTCATGTCAGGACTCAGAAGATAGAAGAGCCCCATTCTAGAGTTCTGTGTCACATGAGATACTAAGTTTTTCTTATTTGAGCCATTATTAATTAGGTCTTCTATAACTTCTTTGCAAGTAAGCAAAAACATCATCAGCCTCAATTTCACAAAAGAAATAGCAGCTAATACATACATGTAGCTAACTACGTACAAAGTATTGTTTTAAGCTCTTCTCATAACTTAATTCTTTTAATCCTCATGACAACCTCTGAAGTAGATACTATTACCTCCACTTTACAGCTGAAGAATTCAAGGCATAAATAAGTTAACTAACTTGCCCTATTAACAGAGGTATTAGTCGTCACAGCAGTGAATTAAGGTCTGGCTCCACGATTGGATCCCTCCTTGATGAGATCAGACTTTCAAGAGACTATGAAATTATCCAGCAAGCATCACCTACCTTACATAATAGTGAGCCTGCCTCTCTCTCCAAAGGGCTGTAAGTACAGACCTTTACTGCTTGCTTACACACCAGACTAAATAGAAACTGTGACCCAGCCACCTGTCTAACTAGAATTCCTCACCAGTGGATAAATAGTCCAAATTACTTGCCTCATTCTAGTAAAGCATCTAAGTTTTTAATTTAAAAATTTTTTTACATTAGCAATGACTTAACATTTTCTATTCAGAGATGTTCCTGCTGTCACCTGTTGCTTCATTAAAGCAAACAAAAAAGAGAAGACATTTTACAGAAAAAAATATTTATTTTTCTCATTGAAGACTAAGGACAAAAACCAAGTAAAACAGAATTCAACAGATTTTAAGCTCCCCGATAGAGGAGATTGTTTCACTCATTTTTACCCAATATGGAACCCAGTATACTGTAAACATTCTACATATGCTATCTGTCCTCAAGAAAAGTGAATTAACCTACTTCCTAATACCTTTATTTCTTCCACACACCTCATTTTATTATCGGTTTTTTTCTCTCTACTTTCAAATAATTACCAATGTTGGATAACCATTTCTGCAAAAGCACCCCAACTTTTGTCTAAGTTAACAGCAAACTATCCAAAACTACCATGTCCCATCCGGAGTAATTCACACAAAACACATATTCTAAGAAATGTAATTCAGCACCTGAAAATTTCAGAGACAATTAACTACAGCAACCACTTAAATAGGAAGAAATGAGTTAAGACAAAATGTAAAAATAAAATTACTAGGTATGTAAGTTAGAATAAATGTTTCTAATTATGATATTTTTCTTACCCAAATGACTTAAATCTTGCTAAAATATTACTTTTTAAAAATTTATAACAATTCATTGGCCTATCAATTTCATAAAAATTTACACTATAAATCTGTTTAATGCCAGAATACTAGGAAGTCAAAAATTAGATGAGAACACTTTATATTAGTTACATTTTTCCACCAAATATTTAGGGATGTAACTACTATGTACCAAATTCTGTTAGGCACTGTAAGTAAAAAAAAAAATAAGGTTTTTAATCCTTGAGACATGTACAATATTAAATTTATAATATTTTTTAAAGTGTTCTGGATGAGTACTACTCCCATAAATTATTCCAATGGCATTTTCTATTTACATGCTAAAGCTAAGTAGATTCTTCAAACAGATATTCAATTTAGATTCATGTGTTTAGATCTAGGGTACAAAATGCAGTCCAAGTCTAAGGATGTAATAATAAGTCAAGAAAGTTCAATACATTTAATTTGTCCACAAACATCAAAGGCAGACATAGTCTTGAGATAATTTTTCAAAAGTTAAAACATCTAATAACGAACCAAATTCCTCTTAGGAAGAATAACTACATGGTTTACTAAGAAAAATTACAGGAATTAAACATAATGCTTAGGAAGTATTTCACTGTTTATAAGGTACTATGCCCAACATCTTCTTCTCTTCAAGAAACTTCGAAGGTAGATCTTATCATTACACCCATCTAACAGATGGGGAAATGAAGGATCGGAAATCTGAAAACCCATCCGATGTTACTCATCTAGTAGAACGTGAGGCTGAGCCTCAAACCCAGGTCCCCCCAACTCCAAATCCCAAACTCTTTCCAATGGATTGTGCCATTTTAACACATTCTCCAAAGAAGCAGGATTTTATTTTTTAACAGGCAGTTTTACAGTTCTAAATTCAATTCAATCTCCTTAAATATATACTGAGAATCTGTCTTATAAGGCATGGTACTGGGGACTATAAAACTTATGTAACTGAATAAGACAATCCCTGTTCAAAGCATTTTGTATGAAATGCTTGAAGAGATAAATATAAGACATCTATGATAGTATAAACATTCACTAAAATGTTTATAAACTATTTAAAATATTTGTAAATGCTTCAGATAGCATACCTTTGTAACTTGTTTGAGGATATTAAATTTGCTTGATCTTTTTTTCAAACCCAGGAACACAGCTTCAAGTTGCCCTGAATATATATTCCCTGATTGTTTTAGATATGGTAACAATATTATAGTATAATATGAAATATATTTGGACTTTGTCCCGTGTTCCTGTCAGAGCTCCTAAAACCCTTGCAATTTCCTGAGTAATAGGAATTGTCTTTTGCTATTCACTAGGAGCCCCTTTTAATCCCACCTGAGTTTATGCTACTGAGGTAACTTAGGGTGGGACCTCGAGATAGCCTCAGGATGGGGCTACTCACCAGCAAGACCAAGTGATTGATGACTGAAACCTTTAACCCTACCCACTAACCTTTGGGAACAGGGTGGGGAACTGGAGATTATGCTCTACAGAAACTCTTGAACCACTAGATTTGATGAGCCTCAGGGTAGTTGAACACATGGAGATGCTAGGGTGTTGGTGTACCAAGAGAGGGCATGGAAGCTCCACACCTCCCCAACCCAATGCATGACTTCATCTGACTGTTCATCTGTACCCTTTATATTATCCTTTATGATAAACTGGTAAACATAAGAGTTTCCCTGAGTTCTGTAAGCTGTCCTAGCATATTATCAAACCAACGCGGGAGGTCATGGGAACCCTAATTTATAGCCAGTGGGTCAGATGCACAGGTCACAACCTGGGACCTGCAATTAGTGTCTGAAGTGAAGGCAGTCTTCTTGTGTAGTCTCCAGGTAGATAGTGTCAGAACTGAAGTGAGTTATTAGACACCAAGTTGGTGTTCACTGTAGAACTGCTTGATGTGTAGGGAAAAAGTCCCACACATCTGGTGTCAAAAGTAAAGTATTGAGTGGAGTAGGAAAAACATTTTGTTTTTTCCTGTCCTTTATAAGAATTTTGGTAAAACTTTTTAAAAGAATCCATATCACTTTAAGATATATACAAAGATACTTATGGGTAAAATGATGTGTATAGGATTTGGTCAAAATAATCTGAAAAAGGGGAAGTAAAATTATACTAGCCATGAATTTTTACAGTAGTTAAATCTGAGTGATAGTACATGGTAGCCTGTTACTATACTACTGTGCTTGAAATTTCGTATAATAATGAAGGTTTTTTAAAAAATAGTGTATGTAGCTTTCTTTTCACCACACAAAAAAATGTTTTTCTTTCAAAGACCAAAAATATTTTGCGACAAGTTCCCTGCCCAAATATTAGACATTACTGCTATACCAACAACTGTAAGTACCATAACATTCATTTAAATTAAATTTTTCCAGGAGTCCTGTCTGATTCCTACCCCTTCTGCTCTATCAAGTTACATCTAATCCTTCTCTAGTATAAGAATGATCTGAATCAGATGCAAAGAAAGCAAAAGAGTCAGCCTCCTCTGAAAACCCTCAGGTAGTACCTAGAATTGCCAACCATCTGGTATCAAACCAGTCTGGAAACTGGGGCCTTCATTAAATGTCTGTTACAACTCATTAAAGCAGGGATTCAATAGCAGCAGCCACATTCACTGTATGTCTCAATTTTCTATACTGTCTGGGTCAACAATCAGTGTTGGATACAGCTCTGAGAGCCACCTCAGGCCCAGCCTTTCAAACACTGGTTCCGCTTGTAAGCAGGAAAGAAAAAAATGAAATCAGAGTCAGATAGAGGTGGGAGGAGAGGTAATAAAGAAATTGCTTTTGATTCCTATAAATTAATTGAGAATCCTTATTTGTTCATAGAATACACTTTAAAAAGATTTTAGTACTCACACCTTCTTATCCTATTTAGATATAACTTTTACCATGTTTTAAAAGGAAAAAAAAACCTTCAAGCCTGCTCCCAAAGGAATTCACACATAGGGTCTTCCAACAATTTTGTAATTTTCTGTCTTATAATTGCCAACATATTGTGTAAAATATACACAGTATTTAAACCAATAATAGCACAAATATCTCAACTTCTTACCCAGTGTTTTACGACTTCTTTCCACAGCTGTTCTTCGAGTTTGTTCAAACATTGCTTCCAAGTCAAAGGTACGAGCTTTTTTCCCTAAAACAGAACAAGTGACAGACTGTGATTGTCTTTCAATACGCTGGCCAAACTGTAGGTATTTAATACTTACTGATTGATCAATAACCACTTAGTCTGTGTAGTTCATAGCATAGCTCCAAGATAACCACAAAACATCAAGGAAGAAAGAGTTTAGTTCACAGATAACTGTTTAATGACAATCTCTTCACTATAGCATTAACCAGCCAACTTTCCCGTCCTTCTCTAATTTACCTAGATCTGCCCCCCATGCCCCAATCCCTGCCTTGAAACAACAACACTGGAGTGGCAGGCAGAATGGAGAATGTACATAACTTAATCCCTGGAACCTGTGAAAATGTTACAGTACACAACAAAAGGTACTTTGCAGATATAACTAAAATTATGGACTTTAAAATAGGGAGATTATCTTAGTTGGCCGTTAAAAGCAAAAATGCAGAATAGGTATAGCAAAAGTGCCTCTTGTTATGACAGGGGAGTCCGTTCATCATCTGTGGTGAATGTATCTTGCTCTTGTTTTGTAAACCTATCTTGCCCTTCCCCAATAAACTTTGTTTCACACTTCAAAAAAAAAAAAAAAAAGATATAGCAGAAGTCATCAGAGAGATTCAAAATGTCAGAAGGACTTGAGGCAGTATGGTTGGCTTGAAGATGAAGGGGACAACATGAGAAGCAAGGCAGATATCTTAAGGAACCAAGCCTGATAGCCAGGAGGGAAACAGAGACCCAAGCTCCACTGCAAGCAGAAACCTCCCTCTCCCTACCAGAGTCTCCGGATAACAGCCTAGGCCTGCTGACACCTTGATTTTAGGCTTGATACTTGGAGTAGAAAAATCAGCATAATTTTATCTGGACTTCTGACCTACAGAACTATAAGACAACAAATCTGTATTTTTTTAAGCCACTAAACTCATGGCAACTTATTACAGTAGCAATAAAAAAAATCCAAATGGTAACTTTTTTTAGTACATTATCTTAAATGTAATATTAAAACTCCCAAAGAATCAACACTAAATGTGAGAGGTGAAGCAAAGGAACTGAGGCTGATCCCCAGTAACTTTATCGAAACACTTAAAACTTTCCCCTACTTGGCATAAACATATGGACCATGCCTTTCTCACTCTTGAGTAAAGGAATGAGATACTAGGATGGAGGATTTAAAAATTATAGACTGGCCAACTGTGGTAACTCATGCCTGTAATCCCAACACTTTAGGAGGTCGAGGTAGGAGAATCTCTTGAGGTCAGGAGTTCAAGACCAGCCTGGGCAACACAGAAAGATCCATCTCTACAAAAAATGAGAAAAATTAGCCAGGCGTGGTGGCATGTGCCAATAGTTCCATCTACTAGGGAGGCTGAGGCAGAAAGATTACCGGGGCCCAGGAGTTCGAGGCTGCAGTGAGCTATGATTATGCCACTGTACTCCAGCCTGGGCAGGAGAATGAGAATCTATTTCAAAAATAGCATAACATAAAATGAAATAAAATCTATAGACCAAGTCTGTATGAACAAAACCCAAGGCCAACAAGTATAAACTCTCAAACATTGACCTCAGACATGTAAATCTAATGTTTCATTATTATCATAAAATTAATACCTACTGGTCAAAACAAAAACCTTGAGAAAAAGTTCAGGGAAATTAGTAAGAGTCTCAATGTTTGTTTTGTTTTTTGTGTTTTTTTTAGAGATGGGTCTCACTCTGTCGCCCAGGCTGGAGTGCAGTAGCATGATCATAGCTCACTGCAGCCTCAAAATCTTGGGCTCAAAGGATCCTCTTATATCAGCTTGCCAAGCAGTTGGGACTATAGGCACCCACCACCATGCCTGGCTAATTTTTTATTTTTACTTTTCTAGAGATGAGGATCTGACTATATTGCCCAGGCTGCTCTCAAACTCCTGGCCTCAAGGAATCCTCCCACCTCAGCCTCCCAGAGTGCTGGTATTATAAGCATGAGCCACCAGGCCTGCCCAAATCAATGCTTAGATGAACAGCACTTATAATTTTAAAATGCAAAGAGAAAACATTTTTCATGTATCAGGCTGGCAAAGTTTTATTTACTTTCATTGTTTTTTCTGCTTTTTAAAACTAATAATACCTACTCTTGTGTTGGTAGGGATATGGTAAAAATGGCATTCTCACATTGTTGACTTTGATGTAAACTGAAACAACATTTCTGAAGGGTATTATGGCAGTAAGTATCAAGAAGCTTTAAAAGATACATACCCAATTTTTAGTTACTTTTTAATATTTATATTTCTGAATAAAGTCATCCCCCTTTTAGAAATCTACCCTATAGAAATACACATCAAAAATCTTTGTACAAAAAGAAAGAAAAGTGTTATTCGTAAAAATGTTCATTTTAGCATTACTGATAAGTTAAAATTAGAAACCAGGGAAAAGTTAAAAAATATTACGAATCATGGCAGTCTACTATTCGGTCATTAAGAATGTTTTGGAAGAGCATTTTATAATATGGGAAAATCTTCAAAATATTGTGTTTAAGAACAATATAAACTTATTCATAAGTATATTAATGTTTTAATATACAACAGAAAAGATTGAAAAGCAAATTAAATTTTAAGTCTTGATTTCTAGACCATGAAAGTACAAGTAATTTTACTTTCATCCTTATAATTATTAATAAGTGGGTTTTTGTTTGTTTGTTTGAAACAGGGTTTCACTCTGTCCCATAATCTACAGCGCAGTGGCATTGTCACAGCTCACTGCAGCCTCAACTCTTGGGCTGGGCTGAAGCAATCCTCCTGCCTCAGCCTCCCAAGTAGCTGGAACTTCAGGCACATGCCACCACGCCTGACTGATTTTTCTATTTTTTGTAGAGATGAGATCTCACTATGTTGCTTAGGCTGGGCTCGAACCCCTGGCCTCAAGTGATCCTCCCACCTCAGCCTCCCAAAGTGCTGGGGTTACAGGTGTGAGCCACTGAGCCTAGCCAGTAAGTGTTGCTTTTGAAAGTAGGGAGGAAAGTTTTAAAAAAAAAAAGAAACAAAAATAAGTGCTATAATTACCCTTTTGTAGCCCTCACTATCTAGAAGATAGTAAATATGTGACTCAAGACATTAGCTGGATAAATGAATTAACAGGAGATCTAGACACATTAGCCTAACATTTGTTCTAAGACCCAATCATGGAAAAACAATTTACATACAATTATTACTGATCGTAATTTTTTAACAGGAGACTACATCTGTTTGAGATTTTTTTTTCTTAACTTTGTAAGATGCCTTGACTAAGATCTACAGAGAGACTGAAGTGAAAGATTCTGAAGGAGAAAGAATTGAATAGGCGGGGGGCGGTGGCTCACACCTGTAATCCTAGTACTCTGGGAGGCCAAGGCAGGAGGATCACTTGAGCTCAGGAGTGCGAGACAAGCCTGAGCAAGAGGGAAACCCCATCTCTACTAAAAACAGAAAAAACTATCGGGGTGTGGTGGTAGGCTCCTGTAGTCTTAGCTACTTGGGAGGCTGAGGCAAGAGGATCCCTTGAGCCCAGGAGTTTGAGGCTGCAGTGAGCTATGATGCCACTGCACTCTAGCCTGGTGACAGAGTGAGACTCTTGTCTCAAAAAGAAATTTGAATCAAAAAGGCCTGTCTGACTATTATAATATCACTTAATGGCCCATTTGTTGCCAAAAGGGTCACCTCTATAAGGACTACTCAGTCCTTAGTTCTAAGTCTTAGGACGCAAACATCCTCCGAGTGGGTCACAAAAGCAATCTTCCTTTCTCTCAGAACTCCTCGTAAGTGTCACCTAAGCTGATTTCAACAGACAAGCAGGTTAGAAGGCAAATGAGGAAGAGCGACAAGAAACCGCAATGTACACACGGGAGCTAAAGACATTCCAAGTTGGTACAGCGGAAGGTGCCAGACAGAAATGACAGCTCGGCTTCCTCTCCCAACCTGCGGCTCTTAAAAACCTCTGCCAAAGGAGACAAGGCTCTGCCTGGGACAGTCACTCACCGAACCCCGTGAAGCCCATGGTGACTGCCAGTTGCGTGTCCGCTCCCGACGAGTCTGAGCCTGTCACTGGGGCAACAGAAGAAAAGAAAGGAGTCCTCGTTAGTGCTCCATCCCCGGCTTCCCTGCATCGCCCACCCTGCCAGGACTAGTCTCATGAAACCCACCTTCGCCGGGACCCGAGCGCTCCATAGCTGGCCACACACCGCAGTACCAGCCGCAGCTATATCCCAAATAGCAGTGGCCGAATAAAAACAATCCCGCGGCAAACCGGGGAGGAAGTATCGCCTCCGAGGGTCCGTGTCCCTGCCAACGCCAAGAGCGGCGCCTTTCGCAGAGGAACAGCGGTTTTCTGCACAGCGCCGCCCTAGCGGTAGGGCGGGGAAGCGCCGCCGAGGTCTCCTCCATCTCAACACACTTTCGGGAAAAAGTACTAGCGTTTGTGTAACATCCTTTACTTTTTAAAACTCGTTTACCACCAAGGGGACTCTTAATCCACACAGAATTCTAAAGAGAAGTCAATAATCTCCTTTTCTTTGCGTTTTATCCTTCTCTATAAGGAAACTCTCACAGTTCTTCGCTTTTTGAGTATATTTTAAGGAAGAAACTAATACCTATTACATGACTGAAGAGCACTTGAAGAAGAATGCCTCGATTTATCCATTTAAATTTCCTTTTATAGGAAATGAAACCTCTCTTTGCTCCTTTCTCTAATCAGACTACTGCAGTTTTACATACCCCATTAGCAAAATTATAGTGATGAACTTTAATTGCTTTGCTTGTCTGTCTCTGCTTGCAGTACCTTAAGGACAGGAAACGTGTTAGTTTTATAGTCCTACCAGTCACAATGCCTGACACAAGTAGGTATTCAGTTTCTTAGCACTGGATGATCTTCTGGGTGCCTAATTTATACCAGTTCCTGTACCATGTGTGTCAGGGTTGATTTTTTGAGGGGTGTTGTTCTGGTTCTTTGGCTCCTTACTTGGAAAAAATGCAAGCAGGGCCGGTGCAACGGAGTGATGACAGACAGCACATCCACACAAGCAGCTTTTACTGCAGGCTTGTCAGCATAGAATAGAAAGAGAAGTACATTTCCTTAGGGGACATGGGTCTATGTCTGCCAGTAGAGAAGACCCTGGGGTCTTACCACATTTCTAGTTTCATATATACACCTTATGATATGCTAAATGATGAGTGGAATACTCATTATGTCTCTGGGAAAAGGCTGGAGAGTTCTTAGAGCTAAGGACCCTCCCTACTTTATCCTTCTAGGGTAACTTCCAGGGGTTGCCATGACATTTGTAAACTGTCATAGCGCTGATGGGTGTGATTTTTTTACTATACTAATGTACTTAATGGAGAAAAGGTTACCTTAGGACACGAGCTCCTGGTTTCTGTCCATGCTACTGACCAGGAAAAGTCCCTAACCTCAAGTTCCTGCTGTTGTCAGTTTGGTTCTAAATACTCATTGGCCTCCTCATTTTTGCCCCCCTCCTCTTTTCCTGTGGTTAGTGCTGCCAACCACCAGCTGTCCCTAATATGTGCTGGGGATGAAAAGATGAATTAGAACAGTCTGCTCCTTCTCTGCAATGGAAAAATAAAGTACGGCAGCAGACACCACCCTACACGGAGCGAATGCCTCCTATGCCAACTTAAACATATTTTTCCTAATAAGGGGACCAAAAACCAAAAGATAGCGATATGCAAATAGAAAAGCCTGCTGAATTTTAATTTACAGTTAAGTCTATCAGAAATATAGTGAAATTTTGGTTCACATGTAACCTATTTCTAACGAGCAGCTACCAATTCCTAACTGCGCTCAGAAGATAATTTATTCGGAGTGCCCAGGTAATTGATGCGCGTACTCTTAAACACTTGCAGTTGGGGGATTTTGACGTGGGAGGTTCGAGGCCCACGGTCGAGCACGCGCCAAAACAACCGGAACCAGAGCTGACTCCGCACCCGGCTGCACTACCCGGGTCCCACCTACCCCGTCCCTGCTCCGTCCTTCATCCCCTCCCCACCCGACCCCGTCCCTTCCTCGGTTCCTCCTCTGGTCTCTCCCCTTTTCCCTTCCCTTCCTCCTTCCTTAGACCACGCCTCCTATTTCCCCCTTCATAACCCCTTAACCCTTATCCCCCTCGAAAGCACCTCCTGCCCCCCTCGCCCTATCCGCAACGTCCAGCCCCTTTAACGGCTGCCTTTTCCCAGTTTCAGAACTACATCTCCCAGTTCCCTCTCCGATGAACCGGAAGTGCGTCATGATGAGGCGCCACGATCCTCGTTTGGCGCGCGCGCCGTAAATCGTGGATCTGGGCTAATTTTTTGGATCCTTTCTTATTTCTCCTTGGGTTTTGACTTTTTCCGGACCCTGGTGTCTAAGATTTTCGAGATGCCATCGTCTTTTCTGGGTGCGGTGATGCCGGCCTCCACGTCGGCCGCAGCCCTGCAGGAAGCTCTGGAAAATGCGGGGCGGCTCATCGACCGTCAGTTGCAAGAAGACCGCATGTACCCGGACCTTTCCGAGCTGCTCATGGTGCCTGCACCAAGTGAGTGATTGGTGTCCAGTTGGTGACCCTCCTTTCTCAACCGAAAGGACTCTCGCCTGACTACTTGGTCCTTATCCCCAGGATTGGTATGGGCGAGGACATCCTGAGAATTAGGGCGCCGTTTCCTGCATTATTAAAGAACAGTAAACAGACTATTTTCAATATTTTTCTTGTCTTTACTTTCTTCATTGTAGAGACTTGAGAGAGCAAGGGCGAAGAGCAGGCTTCCAGTTGGAACAGAAAGAGGGAAGACCCTAACCCTAATGAGCTTTTTACTGCTCCCCTGTGTTTATCGCTAAGGCCAGATGAGAAGCATCTCTTGATCCAAGTCCCATCCTTGTTCAATCCTCGTATTAATGTTTGAGTAAATCGTAAGAGCAAACGAAGTTAATTTGGAAATTTACCACATTCTTTCAAAAATATGCTTTACTATGTGTAGAGTTAGTGTAATACGAAGTGCTGGGAGGTGTTAAGAGAACGACCAGTGGAATAAAGGAAGAAAACAAGGAAAGCAGCATTGTTGATGCACAAGGAGGGTAAGTCAGAGTATATGTCAACAAAAGAGAGGAGACTGGAAAGTAATTCGTTTAACGGTTTTAAATTATGACGAGCTCCTCAAGGCTTATGGAATTACATCAAATGCTAGAAAATGTGACCCTTTTGTGATATGGAATTTGGAGAAAAGCAGAGAAGTGTAAGAAAGATAGAGATGAGATTTTGTTGAGGGAGAACCAAGGTAATCTAGGATAATATGTGCATTGTAACCCTAAAAGACATCTCTTGAGAATTGATAAAAAGCTTTAACTGATAGATTTATAATCAGAAATGACAGAAACAAAGATAGTGCTTGTTCTTTACAGCTACTTACCAATGGCTTGTCTTATGAGACTGGATTGGCCTATTAGCAACCATTAACTTGAACACTACTCACTTTGGCCTCCTTAGGTTTGAAAGCAAGATGTAAAAAGAGTCCATACATTCTGGTCCTCCTCTTACATATCTGCTCCCTACCTCTTCAACCTAATCTCTTCCCTTTCTTTTCCATCCTATTCTCCACCCTTTGGTCCAGTTACAGTAAACTTAACATGTTTTCCATAAGAAGCCCCTCTTCAGGATTTTATTTTGCTCTTTATCATTTTTTGGAACGTTCTTCTTCTTTTCCTGACAGAATTCTTCCAGACTCCATGTGAAAGTCTTTGGTTTCTCTTTGAAATCTTTCTTAACCATTCCCATCCTCACTAAGGTTATTCCATTTTGTTTATTTTTTTTTTTGAGACAGACTCTCACTGTGTTGCCCGGGCTAGAGTGCCGTGGCGTCATCCTAGCTCACAGCAACCTCAAACTCCTGGGCTCAAGCGATCTTCCTGCCTCAGCCTCCCGATGCAGACATGCGCCACCATGCCCGGCTAATTTTTTCTATATTTTTTTAGTTGTCCAATTAATTTCTTTCTATTTTTAGTAGAGACGGGGCCTCTCTCTTGCTCAGGCTGGTCTTGAACGCCTGAGCTCAAACAATCCGCCCGCCTCAGCCTCCCAGAGAGCTAGGATTACAGGCGTGAGCCACCGCGCCCGGCCAGGTTATTCCTTTTTAACTTTGTGCTTGCACTGCCATTTAACATGTGCAGTGTTCTCTTAAAACTATGTTTTAGGATTAAATGGGATCTCTGGATTTGCTTTATAAAGAACCTGTTGGGGAAGGAGTGGATGGTAATGTAAATGAAACATGACTGGGCACATTTATTGGTAATTGTTGAAGCTGGGTAATCAGTACTTAGGAATTGATTATATTTTTCTCTCTACTGGTATATATTTTTTTAAATTTCCATAATACATATAAAATTTGTTTTATATGTCAGTTTTCCCTAAAATCTTTGTACTTCTAGAGAGAACTTGAAAAGGTGCCTGGGATAATTAGGTCATCAGAGAGTTCTGAAGAACACCTTGTTCAGGACTGGGACTGGCTGAGCAGATCAACCTACTCCTTCCTGCCTTTAGTGATCTGAGTCTTAGAGCAAGAGAAAGGTTGCCTAGTGAGAATACATTATAGAGCAGTCTGGTTTTTCTCCCCACTGAGGTATTGCTTGTGTGGTATTATTTGCATTTGTCTTATTGGTCTGGGGGAGAAATCTAGAGGGAAAAGGTATGGATCATGTTAATTAATGTTTAGATGGCTCACGCCTATAACCCTAGCACTTTGGGAGGCCAAGGTAGAAGGATCGCTTGAGGATAGGAGTTTGAGACCAGCCTGGGCAACATAGGGACACCCCATCTGTACAAAAAAAAAATTCTAAAAAAATTAGCTGGGCATGGTGGCCTGTGCCTGTAGTCCTAGCTACTGTGGAGGATGATGTGAGCCCTGAAGTTAGAGGTTGCAATGAGCTATGATTGTGCCCCTGCACTCTAGCCTGGGCAACAGATTGAGACTCTGCCTCTTTAAAAAAAAAAAAAAAAACGTTTAAGAAAGACAATAAGCTGTTTTTCCCCCAACAGTGTTTTGTCTGCCCCTTGTTATTTTCTTTGAATCCCAAAGCATTTATATTTTCCCATTTCAGATTAGGAAAATAATAGAAAAACACTAAACTATTAAAACTAAACATTTCCTTTTTTGTGGAGGAAGTCTTTGTGAAAGATAACTTTCCTTTCAGGGCTGAAACCAGTAACTGCTCCCACCTTAACAATGGACTATTTCAGACCTACTTTGTGTCAGGTCACAAGTACTTGATTCTCTCTACTTTTAGAACCACCATACACACAATTTCTCTTTTTTCCATTAGTTTGTTTCAACGCTTCTATATGCCCAGTTGATGAGCAGTACGTTATTATTATAAATAAATGCTTCATTTTATTTTTTGCAGATAATCCCACTGTTTCAGGCATGTCAGATATGGATTATCCTCTACAAGGACCTGGTTTGCTGTCCGTACCCAACCTTCCAGAGATCAGTTCTATCAGAAGAGTTCCTCTCCCACCTGAACTTGTTGAACAGTTTGGACGTATCCTATTACTTAGTGTTTAACTGGAAAATGTTACAATTGGTGTTTTCATTATTATAATCCTTCTTTTATGTTTACTTAGTATATTGTATATGAGTTCGTTTTAGAGTTTTATTTAAACTACATTTAAGTATATGGATACTTTGTTCTTTTAAAGAGTGGACAGATCACAATTTCTTAATCATAAATTTCAAGTAAAAATCTTGATACTGGGGAATGGGTTTGCTAAAAAAAAAAAAAGCTATTGAAAGAAGTTTAAAAAAATGAGATTGAACTCTTTATACCTTACATCCATACTACCTCAGATATGCAGTGTAACTGCATGATGGGCGTGTTCCCACCTATCAGCAGAGCTTGGCTTACAATTGATAGTGACATATTCATGTGGAACTATGAGGATGGGTATGTATTTACGGCTGCATTGCTTTAGTGCTATTAGTAGATAACGTTTCTTGTGGCTAGTGTTCTGCTCATTAGAAGCTGCTTGATTTATCTTTCAAGCATGAAATGTCTGGTCAGTGCTTCTCAATATATATACCAGTCATCTGTGGATGTTAAGATGTGGATTTAGTGTGTTTTTAGTAGTCCAGGTGAGGCCCAAGAGCCTGCATTGTAACAAGCTCCCAGATGATGCCGCTAGTTTAGGTACAATCTTTGAATAGCCGGGGTCTAGGTCCCAAGCTCTTATTTTGTAGTAAAGATACTATGTTGGTAATTCATCAAAAGATGATTTGACATTTTTAAAGATCTGTTTTTCCTTGAAGTGACTTAATAGTTTTGTTGTCATTTTGTGAATTTGACTTTATATGTAAATTAAATGTATAGAATAGAGTGAGTGAAGGTCCAAGGCACTCTTGCTTAAATAAGCATATTGAGTTGATGATCTGTCTCCCTCTTGGCTTTTTAGAAATAAATTTTGTTTTCCTTCCAGTTCTCAATTATCCTTAGGTGAGAACTTAGGATAGCCATAAGAAGGCCCATAAATTTAAGATGTTACTCTTTCCCCTGAGTAATTACTGTGCTTTTTAGAAACACATACATGCATTAAACACTGTATCATTTTTTTTTTTTTTTTTTTTGAGACAGAGTCTCACTCTGTTGCCCTGGCTAGAGTGAGTGCCGTGGCGTTAGCCTAGCTCACAGCAACCTCAAACTCCTGGGCTCAAGCCATCCTACTGCCTCAGCCTCCCGAGTAGGTAGGACTACAAATATGCACCACCATACCTGGCTAATTTTTTCTATATAGTTTTAGTTGTCCAGATAATTTCTTTCTATTTTTTTTAGTAGAGATGGGATCTCACTCTTGCTCAGGTTGGTCTCGAACTCCTGAGCTCGAACAATCCTCCCACCTCGGCGTCCCAGAGTGCTAGGATTACAGGCGTGAGCCACCGTGCCCAGCCTAAACACTGTATCATTGAATCAAAATTGAAACTAAATGAAAACTTGGGCTTGTAACTTAAACCATTTTTGTTTTTTTACTAGAAATCATCATGGCCATTTTTATTGTTGAAATGTTATAATCACAGTGATGTGTGGTTGTGATTTGTTCTTGTACCCTGAACGTTGCCCCAGTTTGTTGTATTACAATAACATATTCATTTTTATACTAAAGAATAAAACCTTTCTATTTAGGTATGTATCTCTTCAAGAGAAGCCAATGCAAAAAAAATTAATGTGAAAATAATCATTTTCTTTAAAAAGGGTTTTCACTTTAAATTTCTATTCACATCCAACATTTTCATTCATTTAATAGATATTTATTGATCATATATAAGAACAGTGCTTATATAAGAACAGTGTCAAAAGCACTGTTCTTATGCTAGAAACAGTACTGAATGAGATAAATGTGGTCCCTGCCCACAAGGAACAAACAGTCCAACCTTACTTTTTGTCTTAGTTTGAGTGGCTATAACAGAATACCATAGATTAGGTGGTTTATACACAACAGAAATTTATTTCTCGTGGTCCAGTTAGGGCCCAGTATCTGGTTCAAAATGACCATCATTTCACTCTATCCTCCTGTGGCAGAAAGGTTGAGGGAGTTCTTTGGGTCTTATTTTTTTTCTCTCTCTTTGTCTTTTTTTGACACATGATCTCTGTCACTCGGGCTACAGTGCAGCAGTATCATCATAGTCCTGAGTAGCTGGGACTACAGGTGTGCACCACCACACCTGGCTAGTTTTATTTTTTGTTTTGTAAAGATGGGGTCTCTCTGTTGCCCAGGATGGTCTCAATCTCTTGGGCTTAAGCAGTCCTCTTGCCTCAGCCTCCCAAAGTGCTAAGATTACAGGCATGAGCTGCCAGGAGTTAGGGTTTAACATGAATTTTAGGAAGATACAAACATTTGGTCTATAGCACTGTGTGTTTAAACAACAACTCATTTAAAGAAAAATTATTTGAAGAATGTACTTATGGGAATAATATACTTAATAATCATAAGTACTGGGTATAAATCTTTATTCCTCAAATTCAATTCTGTAAAAATTTTAGACTTTATTTCAATTATTCAGTTAGCTTTCTATTATAAATCATAATTTCATGTGGATAATAGAAATGTAATCTTGTTTATTTTTTAGCCCCCAACTTAGCTTCAAGAGGCTGTGCCAGTTATCAAAGGGGCCTATGTAATGCCATGACATGGGAGAATATGGTCCACATAAGTTACCATTTAGGTATTTTCTTCCTGTTGCATGGCCCTATCAGGATGACTAGAAGCTTACTTCAAAGTCTAAATTGTATTTTTTTCCCCTTGGTATTTATCCTGCTTGGTGTCTCTGAGCTTCTTTGATCTTTGGTTTCATGTCTTTCGATATTTTTGGAAAAATTTTCAGCCATTATCTTTAAATATTTGTTCTGCCCCCTTCTCTGCCTTCTTCTTTTATAATTTTCATTTGCACTTTTATTATACTGTTCTGTGTTATCTAACTGATTTTGGACACTCTGTTCTATTTTTATTTTTCCACTCTTTTTTTCAATTCAGACAATTTCTATCAATCTAACTTCAGGTTTACTAATTCTTTTCTCAGCTATGTCAAGTCTACTGATAAATCTTCCTAAGATATTATTTGTCTCTATTCTGTACTTTTTATTTCCAACATTTTCATTGGCTTCTTTCCTATAATTTTTATGTCTTTGCTGAAATTTTTACCTATTTATGCATATGTGTCCATTAAATAATTTTTCCATTAGAGATTGTAACATACTGATCATAGTTATCTTAAATTTCTTGCTAATAGTTTGGACTGATAGCTGAGTCTGTTTCTGTCTTTGTTTCTTGACACTGGGGGGTTTTTTCCCTTGTTGGTTTTTTTTTTTTTTTTTTTTTTTTTGAGACAGGGTCTTGCTCTGTTACCCAGGCTAGAGTATAGTGACATCATCATAGCTCACTGCATCCTTAAACCCCTGGGCTCAAGTGATCCTCCTGCCTCAGCTTCCTAAGCAACTGGGACTTCAGGCATGTACCACCACCCCTTCTAATTTTGTTTTTTTTTTTTTTTAGAGACAGGGTCTTGCTGTGTTGCTCAGGCTGGTGTCAAACTCCTTGCTTCAAGGAGTCCTGCTGCCTTCACCTCCCAAAGTGGTGGGATTACAGGCATGAGCTACTGCATCTGGCCTTTTTCTTTCTTATGTCTCATAATTTTTGATTGGAAGCCAGACATCATATGTAGGACAGTAGGTACTGTGTAGTAAGTAGCATTTATTCTTAGAAATGGTACGTTTGGTAAGATATAGTAGGTAGCCCTTTATTGTGGGGGAAGTTGACTTTTTACATGTCAGGAGTTGAGCTGAGTTTGGGTTTTGTTATTGCTATCTCAGAGCAACACAGATTTTCAATTTCTTTAGAATTACCTTGTGCTTAGGGGGCAAGTTGGGTTACTGGAGATTTTTTCTTGATATGTCTGTTTCACCTTCAGCCTTAGGCTTTCCCTGTGAGCCCATCCTTCTGAGATTGTCTTCTCCACACTCTTGCCCCTGCCTGAGCAGTAGATTGATGTTACTTGATACTTGATCTTGTAGCCCAGTAGGGGGAGTTAGAATGAGAAGAGGCATGCCCTGTTTTTCTGTAATAATTCATGCTTAGCCTTACGCAGATCTTTGTTCTTGGGTCTTGGAACTGAAACAATTCTGTTTGCTGGTTTTTTCATCATATTCAGTGTCTATCTCTTTTCTTCTCCTTTTATAACATATTTGACTTTCATCTGTGTCTGATTTTATCTGACTAATAAAGAGCATTGTATGATAAGAACTTTGTTTTCTTTATATATATAACATGTTTTTCTTCATTTATTGACAGAGGAGACCTTGCCTATTTCGATGGACTTAGTGAGACTATTCTTGCTGTGGGGCTTGTGAAACCAAAACCTGGTAAGAAATAAAAATATTTAAAAAAAGGAAAGAAATACAAATGTAAGGATGAGATTATGTTTATATATACATAGACTCTAGTACTGAATGATAACACATTTTAGGTAGTTGAATTTCCTATTGAAATTTTATTCTGAATTACTTCTAACTAGAAATATATAATGATTAAGAATATTTAACTGTTTGCTCACTTTAATAGTGTAAGCGAGCCTATGTTTTAAGCTGTTATTATGTTAAGCCAGGTGCACTGGCAAGAGCCTGTAGTCCCAGCTATTCAGGAGGCTCAAGCAGAAGGGTCACTTGAGGCCAGGAGTTCGAGGCTGTAGTGCACTATGATTGTGCCCGAAAATAGCCACTACACTCTAGCCTGGACAACATAGTGAGACCCCATTTCTAAAAAAAAAAATTTTTTTTAAGCCGGGCATGGTGGCTCAAGCCTGTCATCCTAGCACTTTGGGAGGCCAAGGCCATAGGATTGCTTGACATCAGGAGTTCAAGACCAGCTTGTGCAAGAGTGAGACCCTGTCTCTACAAAAAAATACAAAAATGAGATGAGCATGCTGGCACGCCCCTATAGTCCCATCTGCTTGGGAGGCTGAGGCAAGAGGATCGCTTGAGCCCAGGAATTTGAGGTTTCAGTGAGCTATGATGATGCCACTGCACTCTAGCCTGGGTGACAGGGTGAGAACCTGTCTCAATTAAAAAAAAATTTTTTTGTAATGTTAAACTATAATTCTTTGAATTTTATTTTGCTTCCTTTTATTTCTTTCTTTTTTTTTTTTTTTTTTTTGAGACAGAGTCTCACTGTGTTGCCCGGGCTAGAGTGCCGTGGCGTCAGCCTAGCTCACAGCAACCTCAAACTCCTGGGCTCAAGTGATCCTACTGCCTCAGCCTCCCGAGTAGCTGGGACTACAGGCATGCGCCACCACGCCCGGCTAATTTTTTCTATATATTTTTAGTTGTCCAATTAATTTCTTTCTATTTTTAGTAGAGACGGGGTCTCTCTCTTGCTCAGGCTGGTTTCGAACTCCTGAGCTCAAACAATCCGCCCGCCTTGGCCTCCCAGAGAGCTAGGATTACAGGTGTGAGCCACCGTGCCCGGCCTATTTTGCTTCCTTTTAACTACTTCTCTTCATTTACCTGAAGTTTTTTGCATTATAGATTTTTTCAAGAATTACTGAATTTAATGTAAAAAACATTTTTATCTCTCCTTTTTAAAAGTCTTGACAGCCCATGGACCTGAATAAATCCTAGAGAAGTTACAAGTATTGTTTAACTTACTTTCGACTTCATAATGCCTCATCTTTTATCAGAGTTACTGACAAACAGAATTGATTGACTTAAATTTAAGATACAAACCCCTAAATACACCTTTCTACAAGAGGAGATAATAGAGAAATTCACTTTTTTGCAAGGCCTAAATAAAAAATTTTGAGATCTTGACATTCTGAAAATATAGCTATTCACATAAGTAGTAACATGCATTTTTATACATTGTTTATTTGGTTACATTGAAAATGTGTTTGTGCTAGGATAGAGTTTGGGGTGAAGCAAAAAAATAGAAAAAAAATAAAAGAAAAAGAAAATTTATTTTCTTTATATAGAGTCTAAAAGCAGTCTTTATCCTGATGTATATATCTGTGTCTTGTTTCTTCATAAAAAGTTTATTCATATAAAGGTCGATGACTATTCCTGCCCCCTATTGTAGTAAATATAAATTGTCCATCTGGAACAAATAGTAAAATTTTATTCTACTCAAATTTTAATGAAAAATCGAAACTATGGCAGTCTTTGGGGTGAAGGTGAAACAATTCTGACCTTTGCCAGTAACAGGTGTTGAAAATTCTGACTCTCAAAAATATGTTATAACTAACCAGAGTCCATGTCTTACTTTGCCTTTTGCAAGGGAATATTATAATTCAGCTAAATAAAGTCATCTTTTTCCAAGTCAAATAAGCTTTTTGGCAAGAGTCTGCTTTATTGATGCTTTCTATGTAAGCAAGAAATTTATGAATTCATGTTTCAATTTTATGATTGTTTGAACAAAACACAAGAATTCTTCAGTGTTTCCTAGCATTTGCAGGTTTTTGCTTGCAGAAAAATTGACAAAGCTTATTTACTCTTTTTGAGTACAAAAAAGCATTCCTCACATGCTGAAAGAGTCACATAGTTGTTCAGCTTTACTGTTCTCTTTCAGGGATATAACTTGGCCAAAGAGTTTATCATTAGGGGGCAGCATTCATTATAGTGATTATGAGACAAACAATTTACCTTATCGGTATGACCCAGTAAAACTGTTACCTAAGTCAAATTATGTATAAATTCCCTCCTGCAACTTGTTTTTAGAATGGTCTTCCTGTCTCTCCAAAAGAGTAAACCTCCTGGCTCAAGTTTAAGCAACTAGTTCTGGAAAGCCAGTGAACTTCCCAGTAGAAGAGGTCTTTGTATTTTTCTTTTTCTGGACAAAATCTCTGGAAAAAGTACTAGTTCATATTGCCATTGTAGTTGTCTTGGAAGTTGAAGGTGCCATGGCAAGTGTTTGGTGCCAAACCATGCCTTTATAAAACACAGTGAGTTAGGGTTCTATTGAGTTTCTTCATGAGAGCAGCAGCAACAGATGTGTTGTAAAGCATTATAAGTGCTATTTGTACAGAAGTACTAAACTTTTTCTTTCAAAATTTTATTAACCAATGAAACTTTACACCATTTCAAAGACCTAAACAACAATGGCAGTTACTAAACAGTGCTCATAAGATGTGTACAGGCTTACCTCATTCTATTGCGCTTTGCTAATACTACATTTTTTAAAAACAAAGATTTGTGGTGACCCTGCATTGAGCAAGCCTATGAGTGCCATTTTTCCAGTAGTACATGCTTACTTTGTGTCTCTGTCACATTATGGTAATTCTCACAATATTTCAAACTGTTTCATTATTATCATATCTTTTATGATAATCCTTAGTCTTTGATATTACTGTTGTAATTGTTTTGGGGTACCATGAACCATGTGATCATATAAGATAGTGACCTTAATTGATAAATGTTGGGTGTGTTCTGATAATTCTACTGCCCAGCTATTCTCCCATCTCTCTTCCTCTCCTTGGGCCTCCCTATCCCTGAGACACAACAATACTGAATTTAGGCCAATTAATAACCCTATAGTGGCCTCTAAGTGTTCAAATGAAAGAAAGAGTCAGAGGTCTTTTACTTTCTTTTCATCAAAAGGTATAAATGATTAACCTTACTGAGGAAGGTATGTCAAAAGGGGATATAGGCCAAAAACTAGTCCTCTTATGCCAAATATTTAGCCATATTTTGAATGTAAAGGACAATCTCTTGAAGTAAATTAAAAGTGCTACTCCATGCTGGGCACGATGGCTCATGCCTGTAATCCCCACACTTTGAAAGGCCAAGGCAGGAGGCTCGCTTGAGGCCAGGAGTTTAAGACCAGACTAGACCCTGTCTCTATTTTTAAAAATTAGCCAGGTGTGGTGGCATATGCCTATAGTCCTAGCTACTTGAGAGGCTGAGATAGGAGGATCACTTGAGCTCAGGAGTTGAAGTTTGCAGTGAGCTATGTTCGCGACACTGTGCTCCAGCCTGGGTGACAGAGTGAGACCCCATCTCTTAAAAAAAGAGAAAAAAGTGCTACTGCAGTGAACACATGAATGATAAAAAAGCAAAACAGCCTTATTGCTGATATGGAGGATGTTTGAATGGTCTGGATAGCTCAAACCAGCCACAACATTCCCTTATGCAAAAGCCTAATCCAGAGCAAGGCCCTAAATCTTCAACACTGTGAAGACTGAGAGAGATGAGGAAGCTATAGAAGAAAAGTTGGAAGTTAACAGGTCAGTTCATGAGATTCAAAGAAAGAAGCCCTCTCCATAACTTAAAAGTGCAAGGTAAAGCAGCAAGTGCTGAAATAGAAGCTGCAGCAAGTTATCCAGAAGATCTAGCTAAGATCATTGATGAATTACACTAAACAACAATTTTCAGTGTAGATAAAATAGCCTTGAATCAGAAGAATATGCCTCTAGGACTTTCATACCTAGAGCGGAGAAGTCAATGCCTGGCTTCAAAGCTTCAAAGGACAGGATAACTCTCTTGTTAGGGGTTAATGCAGCTGATGACTTTTCAGTTGAAGCCAGTACTCAGTAGCCATTCTGAAAATCCTAGGGCACCTAAGAGTTATGCTAAATCTACTCTGCCTGTGCTCTATAAATGGAACAACAAAGCCTGGATGATAGCACATTTGTTTATAGCATGGTTTGCTGAATAGTTTAAGCCAACCGTTGAGACCTGCTGCTCAGAAAAAAGGTTCCTTTCAGATATTACTGCTCATTTATAATACACCCAGTCACCCAAGAGCTTTGATAGAGATATACAAGGAGATTAATATTTTCATGCCTGATAGCACAATATCTGTTCTGCAGCCCATGGATCAAGAAGTCATTTCAACATTCAAGTCTTATTTAAAAAATACATTTTATAAGGCTATAGCTCCCATAGTTATTCCTCTGATGGATCTGGGCAAAGTAATTTGAAAATCTTCTGGAAAATATTTACCATTCTAGATGCCATTAAAATATTCATGATTCATGGATTCATGGGAGAAGGCCAAATATCAACATTAATAGGAGTTTGGAAGAAGTTCATTCCAACTTTCGTGGATGACTTTGAGAGGTTTCAGACTTCAGTGGAGGAAGTTACTGCAGGTGGAATGGAAACATCAAGAGAAGGAGTAGGAGGTAAAAAAAAAAAAAAATAGCAAGAGAACTAGAATTAGAAGTGGAGCCTGATGATGGGACTGAATTGCTGCAATCTCATGCTGAAACTTGAACAGATGAGAAGGTGCTTCTTATGGATGAGCAAAGAAAGTGGTTTCTTCCTCCCATACTCCCAGGATTGGAGCCCAGGGCATCCTGCCAGCTGTGCCTTCTCTGTCCCTGTAAGACGTCCTTCCACGTCAGGACTATCTTTCAAGGTTGTCGCGTGCTATGGTGTAGTTCACCATGTCAAGCTGTTCTACCCACAGTGGGATGAAGCAGCTGGGGCCTTATTGGGCTCTAGCCTTCTGTCATGAGAAGGGTAATAGAGAAAAGTAGCACAGACAGAAATGCTGCTGGCCAAACAAATATCAAAGACAGCCTGGGAAGGAAAGGTCTTTGTGCGGTAATTCATATCTTTAATTTATTCAAGTTCATCAGTTACTTTATTATTTTTTTTTAACTCATGGAGACTTTTACTCTACTGCTTTATTAGGCCAAAATACTGCCATTCTAGGTAGGGTTTTATCATCCCATGGACTACCTCGGCTTTTAATTTAAAAAAAAAAAAAGAAGAGGGTAAGAAAAGGCAAACCTTTATACTTGAAGCCAAGTTTAAGACGAGAGACGAGAGAGAGAGAGATGGGGGGAAGGAAGGGAAGGAAAAGAAGGAAGAAAAAGAAAAGGCAAACCTGTTCTAAGTTGTGGGACAGAGAGCTAGGTACTTTGTCACCCCTAGGAGGTACTGAGGCTACTACTATTTAAAGCAAGGACTCAGGTGCTAGTGGGAGTGGGCAGTGGACTCAGGCTTAGCTACAGTATATAAGCTAAACCTTCCAGACCTGCCTCTGGCCCTTGAGATCTATTGGGGGAGTTTTGTCCCTGCTCTTCCTCAGGGAAGAGGTTCCCCCAGTTCCCTCTGATCATGGCTGATCTGGGAATCACAGGAAAGCACTTCAGGCAGCTTCCCTTGGGCCACCCCCAGGTGGTGTTGGAATGTTGTAGTATAGGTTTCCCAGGCTAGCAGGGGTGGGAATGGGTGGGCTCTGCAGGATGAGGGAGGGGCACGTCCACTGAATTTCTTTCTTGTTTTACTATGATAATCTAGCTTTTATTATAATTTTTAAAACATAATAATTTCATGAGTCAAGAGTATCGAATCAGTGTTGGATATGCCACTCAAGGCTGGGGAGAGGGGCTGGCAGCTCTGGGTATTAGGAGAAGGGAGTGGGTACTGGCATAGAGATGGCTGTATAGAATATTTCTCATGAGGTAGCATATGGTATTTTGAAGGTAAGACTTTCTGAGTTTATCATGTTTTAATTTGAGGGACAGGAAGTAATGAGTCATCACAAGTTCCTCCCTTATCTAACCCTATGGAAGTGAGAGTCTCAAAGGAATGCCCCATCCCAGGAGCTGGGGCTGACTTGATTGCTTCTAGACAGGCCTGTCTCAGTGCTTGCTTGTCCCCTCTCTATGGTGCCAACCTCCTTACCATCATTGCTCCATTGAGATGAAGCCAGGTTTTTCATAGTAAGAGTCAATATCCCCTCTTACCTTGGCTTCCTGTTCTGGGGTTGGGGAGGGAATCAGTGGTATTAGAGATGACTAGAATGTCATGAATTTGAATTTCATTTAGCTAAAAAATAGTATCGTTGGAAAAAGGATGTGGGGAGAAGGCCTCTTGCCCTACACACATTGAGACAGATCCCAACTGGTCTCTGATCTTCTTTGTAGAGATTCTATTGGTTGAATGCCTAAAGAGGTAGGTAGATGGCCTTCAGATCGTACCAGCTTCGCTAGCATTGTTAACCAACTGTTACAGGCTCTGGAAATAAGAGATCTTAATTGAACTCATAAAAAGAAAAGTAGTTTCTTGAGATCGAATCTACTTTTGGTGAAGACGCTGTACACATTGTTGAAGTGACAGCAAAGGATTTGGAATACTGCATTACCTTAGTTGATAAAACCGTGCCAGGGTTTGAGAGGATTGACTCCAATTTTGAAAGTTCTGCTGTCGATAAAATGCTGTCAAAGGGCATCACATGCTACAGTGAAATCTTTCATGAAAGGAAGAGTCAATTGATGCAGCAAACTTCACTGTTGTTTTATTTTAAGAAATTATCACAGCCAATGCAACCTTTAGCAACCACCACCCTGATCAGTCAGCAGCCTTCAGTATCGAGGCCAGACCCTTCACCAGCAGAAAGATTAGGACTCACTGAAGACTCAGATGATTGTCACATTTTTTAGCAATAAAGTATTTTTTATTAAGGTATGTACCTTGTTTTTTGAGACATAATGTTGCACACTTAGTAGACTGCAGTGCAGTATAAACATAACTTTTATATGCACTGTGTCTCGACAGTATATATTGCAATGGTCTGGAACCAAACTTGGAATATCCCTAAGATACACCTATACTTTATAGATAAGAAGTGAGAGGGGCCAGGCGCGGTGGCTCACGCCTGTAATCCTAGCACTCTGGGAGGCTGAGGCGGGAGGATCATTTGAGCTCAGGAGTTCAAGACCAGCCTGAGCAAGAGCGAGGCCCCCTCCTACTAAAAATAGAAAGAAATTAGCTGAACAATTAAAAATATATGTAGAGAAAAAAAAATTAGCCGGGCATGGTGGCGCATGCCTGTAGTCCCAGCTACTCGGGAGGCTGAGGCAGGAGGATCGCTTGAGCCCAGGAGTTTGAGGTTGCTGTGAGCTAGACTGACGCCACGGCACTCTAGCCTGGGCAACAGAGTGAGACTCTGTCTCAAAAAAAAAAAAGTGAGAGTTGACAGAAGTGAGAAATGTCAGCGATTTAATCCTGTCACATCCTAAAGGGAGATAGCTTCCAATTATCCACCATCTCCTGTTTTAAAATATTTATATAGATTATGAGAAATTTTAGAGATGACATAATTTGACAGAGGTACTGCTTTGCTTATCTTCCTTTATTCCAAGCCATAAGCCAGCTTCACCATTTATAAAGTTCCAACTTCACTAAGGTTTCTGTAGTCAAAGGTGACTTCTTTGGTGTAGCAGTGTGACTAAATGCTTTCAGTAAGGTTTTTGTTAAGGAAAAATCTTTAAGTTTTCATAAAGTTTAAGCTTTGTAAATCTATTGTGAAATATCAGGTTTATTTTGAGGTCATTAAGGTAGAAGGTCAGTTCCTTCAGCTTTGATGACTTGAGTCTTGACACATAAAGCTGCAGCTTTTATGCTTCTTAGTGTGTTCATCAATGAAATTAACGCCAAATGATGACATAAGCATTGTTTTATTTTCTGTGAAATAAAAACCTTAAGTAGGCGAAATGTATACACATAAAGAGATGTCCATAATCATAATGTAAGGTGTATTTCCTTTTATTCCTATCAGACATTATTTTTGGATGTCATAACACGATGACAGTGATAATTGCACATAACGTCTTGTGCCATTCCACATATTTTAATATTAATATGTTAGATGAATTAACATAAATTTTGTGCTTTGTTTAGTGTCTCCTCTGAAACTGAATTTATTCTTCTCTGAAAGATGTGCATAAATGTATAAATATCCTTCTAGACTCCTATCAATGTCCTAGCATTTTCTCTAGTGGATATTATAGGTCTAAGTTTTATTTCCTAAGATTATCTAAATTTTATTTACCACACTTCAAAAATGAAATCTTCATATGTTTTAATTGTGGTAAATACACATCACACAAACTTTGCCATCTTAATCATTTTTGAGTGTACAGTTCAGTGGTATTAAGTACATTCACATTGTTTTGTAGCCATTGTCACCATCCATGTTCAGAATTTTTTTTGTCTTACAAAACTGAAACTCTGTACCCATTAAATAATAACTCTTGTCCCTTCTTCCCTCAGCCCTTGGCAACAGCCATTCTACTTTTTTTTTTTTTTTTTATTTCAGCAAATTATGGGTGTACATATGTTTAGGTTACGTGTGTTGCCCTTGGTTCCCCCCCCACCGAAGTCCGTGTCTACTTTTTGTCTCTATAAATTTGACTACTCTAGGTTTCCTTATAAATGGAATCATATGGTACTATACTTTTTTTGTGACTAGGTTATTTTATACAGCATGTCCTCAAGGTTCATCTGTGTTGTAGCATGTATCAGAATTTCCTTTTTAAGGCTGAATGATATTCTACTGTATGTATATGCCACATTTTGTCCATCTTTCAATGGACACTTATTGATGAATGCTAGGAAAATGGATATACAAATATGTCTTTATATTTTAATAAGCCTAAACTATTTTGTAATATAACACTGTTTTATTAATTAATTAATTTATTTATTTATTTATTTATTTTTAGAGGTTAGTCAGATGAAGCAGTGGGAGTGAAGATGGAACTATAACCCTGTTTTAAACAGCATTAAATATTGAAATGATTGTTTCCTAAGGTGGTTCTTTACTAATATTTACTTACTTAAATGATCATACATAGTAATATTTTAACATCAGAATTGACTAAACTGGATTCAGACTTTTCATAGACTGTTTAATCCATAGCTCATTTAAATGGTATAACTGTATTCTGTTAGTGCTTAGGTGCTGGATGTTTTTTACGAAAATAATTCCTGTCCTGTGTCTACTTTATCTTAGGCATCTTTCAACCTCATGTACGGCACCTCCTGGTTTTGGCGACCCCTGTAGATATAGTAATTCTTGGACTCAGCTATGCTAATTTGCAAACAGGTATGGCAACCCACATGTTATGTTTTTTAAAATAACAATATTTTGGCCAATTAATATTATAATTAAAAACTAATTTGGATAAAATGTTGAATTCCAGTAATTCAGATTAATGATTACTGCTACCAAATCCTCAGGTGCTTTTCTAAAACTTTATAATTTGGGTTAGTTTTTTGTTTGATGTTTTACTACATTACATGTATGTGTGTGTGTGTGTACACACACATATACTTAAATACATATACTTACACATATACATATATAGCAGGTTTTATTTAACTAGAATTATCAATTTATTTGTATCAAAATTCTTACAGTAATTTAAGAATGTATGTCATAGAAGCTTTTGACTATGTCAATAAGAATTTAGTGAGAATATTAATTCTGAAGATAATGTAAAGATTGTTTTAAACTGTCAAATAAAAGGTAATAAACTGATTTATGTATTCTTTTTTAAAAAAAATAGGTTCTGGAACTCTTAATGACAGTATGTCTGGTGGAATGCAGTTACTTCCAGATCCTTTATATTCTCTTCCCACTGATAATACTTACCTTTTAACAATAACTTCCACTGATAATGGCAGAATTTTCTTGGCTGGAAAGGATGGCTGTTTATATGAAGTAGCATACCAAGTAAGTCTGACTTTTTTCATTTTATTTTATTTTTTATTTTAGGGATAGGGTCTCACTTTCACCCAGGCTGGAGTGCGGTGGCATGATCGTTGCTCACTGTAACCTCAGATTCCTGGGCTCGAGCAGTCTTCATGGCTCAACCTCCTGAACAACTGGGGAATCTGACATTGATTAACATTTTTTTCCTCTGTCTTGACCGAGTAGGGAAAGATAGGCTTTTGTTTTTATTTTCTAATTATATAAGGACATTAATGTATTTTTATGGAAAATATTCGAGCATACAATTGACAGTCCTCCTCGATGATACCATGCCTACAAAACATAGTTCTGTCCTCAGAGGTAAAGGCCATTATCAACTCTGTATGTCTTTGTAGAACATGATATATATATTAAAAGATGTATATATAAAAATATCTATACATGTATTTGTGTGTATACACAGATACAAATACATAGTGTATTTTTGGAAATATGTGTTTTTACTTGGATTATTGATTATGTTTTATTTCACAATTGACTTTTCACTTAACGATATATCTTGACAGTCTTTCCTTGTCAGTATTTTGTTGATATTTTTAATTATGGATCAAACTTAGTATTTAATTTTGAATAGTATGTCTTGCTTTATTTATCATCACTGAATTTCATGAAGATTTGAAGATTTTTATAAATATGGGTATACAGTAGTTATTGTGAGGGAATTATATACCTTTACAAGTCTTCTTTTATTTTTCTCTTTAAGGCAGAAGCAGGTTGGTTTAGCCAAAGATGCAGGAAAATAAACCACTCAAAGAGCCCACTTTCTTTCCTTGTTCCTTCCTTGCTACAGTTCACATTCTCTGAAGATGGTAAGTAGAAAACAGTAAGTTTGGCAAATTTTTAACACATCTTTGCCTCAACATTTTCTTCAGAAATTGTCATTCTTGATTGAAACAGTTTGTCATATGAAATAGCATTTGTTATAAGGTCTCTTAAAAGGTAAGGGGATTATAAAACATAGAAAAAGTATGAGTTTTATTCTTGAGTTACTTATTTCCTGTAAATGTAGCATCCTGGAACACGTGTCCAAAACAACTCTACATACTTAAACCAAAATGTGTGTGTGTATGTGAGAGAGACAAGCATTTAGACATAGACATCTGATATATGTTTTGCCTGGTCTAGAACAGATTCCCAGTAAAAATGAGTATGTGTGAATTTTTAATGAACTGAGATTTAGATAGATGAGATAATTTTAAAATGCTTTGACGAGATAAGACAAATATACCTAAATGTTAATATCATTGAATTTTTAAATTGTTTCTTTTCACACAATAAATTATAAACTAAATTGGAAGTTTCTTGAAGGACCAGATGTAATTATTCTATGTTTTTCTAGTATATAGTAAATATTGTTGAGTAAAGAAATAATCTAGAACTTGGTTTTGGTTTGGCTTAAAATTTATTTAGAGATCATAATAACTTATTCACGATGTTCTTAACCCAATCACAGTATTTAACATCTTTGTTTTCATGTGTTGTCTGACCTAAATGCTTTCCAGCCTGGTCCTTATGCAGGTATCCCAGGACTTAACTACAAAGTGAGAGAGAGAAAGCCCCTGAATGCAAAATTCTAATTCAGCAATTTTAGTTTGTTCTAACTGGCTACTGTGTTCAATTTGTTAATCCTTGTTTTTTGTTGTTTTTTTTTGTCTTACTTTTAGATCCTATTGTTCAAATTGCAATTGATAATTCTAGAAATATTTTATATACACGATCTGAGAAAGGAGTAATACAGGTAAGTATTAATATTATGCTACCATTTAAGAGTTAAAAAATTCCTGTTTTTAAGGAATAAGATTCAGTCGCTTTGAAACTTTTCCTATGACCTGTGTGCTTATAAAAAAACCATTCCAGACCACTTCTTAGGGAGTGGTCTTTTTTTATGAGATTTCATCTCTAAATGTTTTGATAACCTGTATGAAGTACCAAAATTAAAGGATCCCTAAAGGGGAAAAGTTTATTTAATAATATGTGTACAATATATAACTGTGTTTAAGTGAGAATGATTTTTTTATTCACAGGTTTATGATTTGGGCCAAGATGGACAAGGAATGAGCAGAGTTGCCTCAGTTTCACAGAATGCTATTGTCTCTGCTGCTGGTAACATTGCTAGGTAATACTAATTTATTTTCAGACATTTCATTTGTAGGCTTAATTATACTATTTCTATGTAGTATACTAAAATTAAATTATGTTTATGTTTGAAACCGAGAGCTGCTAGAGACTCTTTTTTTTTTTTTTTTTTTTTTTTTTTTGAGGCAAGGTGTCCCTATGTTTCCTAGGCTGGTTTCAAACTCCTAAGCTCAAGTGATCCTCCTGCCTCAGCTTCCCAAGTAGCTGGGATTACAAACAAGTGCCACCGCACCAGCTATTTTATTTTATTCTTATGTTTGATGGTTTGAAACATAAGGCATTCTGGTTTTACTGTGTAAAGTACAGCTTGATGTGTTTTTCTTGGAACTTAAAGTCAAACTTCAGGTGATCTATTACAGGCATTATAGGTATCATGACTCAGGAGCTACGTGTCTAAAAATTCCCCCCATTATAACTACTCATCCTTTTAATAGGCCTACATGGTTCAAGTTTAGTAGGTCTGATTATTGACACAAGTACAGAATATAGAATTTCACAGTTGTAGTATCCTCATTTTATTCATGAGGAGAGTGAAACTAAGGGATGTTAACTTAGGTCTAATCCTAAATAAGTGCTTGAACCCAACCTAGAAGTCAGATCTTCAGATATTCTGTACCACTATTTGCCTATATCCCAACTGCTTTAGTCACCTGCAAACATTCTCTCCCCATAATAAAGGCGTCACATTTTCACTGCTTTTGTTGTCTATGTGTCTAGGTAATTGCTACAATCAGATATCATAGTGAAAAATGAACATTTTATTTTTTGCTCTTCAGTGAAAAAAAATTCTGAAAGCATACAATTCTAAACATAGAGTTTCTTATTTTTTACCTTAACTTGCTTTTGGAAATTTTTTCAAATCCACAGAAAAGTAAAAGAACAATATGATAAAAACTATTATACCCTTTATCTTTATTCATCAACTGTTAATATTTTGCCTCATTTGTTCACTGTCTTTCTTATGAGCCATTTGATAGTAAGTCGTAGCCATCATGATTTTCATCCTTAAATTCTTCAGTTTCCATTCGTGTGTCTTTCATAACACAGTACAATTACCATACTTAAGAAAATCAACAGTAATTCTGTAATATTATCTGCTAATTATACAGTCCATATTAAAATTGCCCAGTGGTCTCAGAAATCTTTTTTATCTGTTTTTCTTTCCATTTCTTTCCAGTCAAAATCAGAGCTCATGAATTGCATTGGTCATTAGTCTCTTTAATATACAACAGCCCCTTTGTTGCCTTTTCTTTTTGATAATGTTGACATTTGAGAGAAAAGGGCAGGAAAGTTATCTATAGAATACCCAAATTTCTGAATTCATCTTTTTCTTTATAATTAGTTTCTTAGTAGTTTTTTTTAGCCAGTATTACATAGATGACGTGAACTACTTACCGCATTACATCAGGAGGCACATAATATCAGTTTTCCCACTGTTGAGCACTTGGTTAAGCTGATGTTCTCCAAATATCTACATTAAAAAGTCCCATTTTGCCCCTTTTTAATTAGTAGTAATCTTTAGAATGATAATGTTATGCTTTGAGAACACTTAATTCCCCACCAGCCATTTACCCAATGATTTTAGCCTTTTTAAATGATCTTTGTTTCAAAATAGGATTACCCTTAACAACAGTAACATAAACAGTATGCATTTAGGAGTTTTTGCCATTCTTGTTACTGTTATATTGCTTTCCTAAGAAGATAGTGTTAAATTATTTTAGCATATTTAGACATATAAAAATGCTGATGGAAAACGTTCATTATAATTTAGTATATACATTTTAACAATATACTTTAGTTTTTCTCCTTTATTTTAGGACCATTGATCGTTCTGTTTTTAAGCCAATTGTTCAAATAGCAGTGATTGAAAATTCTGAATCGCTGGACTGTCAGTTATTGGCTGTCACACATACAGGTATGTTATTTTATTTATTTATCTGCTATAGTTGTTACAACTTTTAATAATCCTCAGATTTGGAAATTTATGATTAGAAATATGTTTTTGCTTGTGTATCAATTATCAAGCCATATTAATAATTTATAAAATTAAAGATTTTAAAAATTAGAAGATTCCTCTGGTTCTGTCTCCTCATTTTATAGATGTAAAACCAGACCTGAAAGGTAAAGTAGGTCACATTTGGTGACAGAATTGGAACATAAGCCTCTTTGGCTTGTCATTGCAAGTTCTTTCCACTGAAATGTATTGATTCACTTCTCATTTCCGAGTGATATTTTCTTAGACATCTGTTTCAGCTAGTAGTCCGGTTGGTGATTTAAGATCAGTCAGGGAAGTGATAGATGGTTTTAACAGAGTTGTGTTTCTTGATGGAATTGTTTCAATAAAACATGTACCTCAGATCCTTTATTTTCTGTTATTGATGCACGATTTTACCCCATCATCAGGTATTAGGTTGTATTTCAGCACTTGTCCATTCAGACAGCCACTGGCACGGCCTAATACACTGACTCTGGTTCACGTCCGTTTACCTCCTGGATTCTCAGCATCTTCAACGGTGGAAAAGCCTTCCAAAGTACATAAAGCTCTTTATAGTAAAGGTAGGTTCTTAACATTATAAGACATTTTTAGGCATTTGAAAATACTGTAAACAAATTACCCAATAAATTTTAGAATGTTTTGGTTTTTATCTAGGTACTCTTTTTATATTAACATTATATTTTGAACATTTTCAGTTGTTATGGATATGAAAATGATAGTAATTTTTTAGTTTTGCTTTAATTTTAGCGTGTTATTAACTTGGTATATGAACTCACTTGTCAAAGTCAGTGTTATATCCAGTGTACTACATTCTGAACTTTCTTTTAGAATAGTTAGAAAAGCTCAAATGACTTTTCTGATGCCATGTCTGCTGTGACAGTGTCTTTACGGATATGGAAAGTTTTGCATACAACAATACAAAATCTTGATGCCAAGCTCTTTAGGATTCATAATTAAGTTTGTTTTTTTTTCATAATTAAGTTTTAAAAATAAAATTCTAGTTAAACATCAAAACTAGAAAAATTTGTATGTATTTTTCCCATTATGGAAGAGCATTTCTATAACATTTGTTTTCATTTTCTAATTCTTTTAAAGCCTTTTCTGTGCTTGTTCTATCTCTTCTAATATTTCATTTTTCTATACCCAAATGAAACTTTCCTTTACAAACAGAATTTTTTCAAATACATAGTATCATGTACCTTAATAATATTTTTAAATAACAACTTTAGGCCAGGAATGGTGGCTCATGCCTATAATCCTAGCGTTTTGGAAGGCAATCCTAGCATTTTGGGAGGATCACTTGGGGCCAGGAGCTTGAGACCAGCCTGGGCAACATAGTGAGACTGCGTCTTTATTTTAAAAAATTAGCCAGGTGTGGTGGCAAGTGCCTGTAGTCCTAGCTACTAAAGAGGCTGAGGTGGGAGGATTGCTTGAGCCCAGGAGTTTGAGGCTGCAGGGAGCTATGACTGGGCCACTGCACTCCAGCCTGGGCTACAGAATGAGACCCTGTCTCTAAAAAAAAAAAAAAAAACTTTTCAAAAATAAATAAATAGTAGCTTTATTGAGATATAATTCACATAAAGTTCAGCCTTTTAAAGTGTACAATTCAGTGGTTTTAACTTTATTCACAGAATTGTACAATCATCACCATTGTCTAATTCAAGAATATTTTGTTCACCCCAGAAAGAAACCTCATGCCTGTCAGCAGTCACTCCTTGTTCCCCTTTCCCCCTCCCTCCAGCACTGGGAAATCCTAATCTACTTTCTTTATGAATTTGCCTGTTTTAGATGTTTCATATAAATAGAATTATGCAATATGTAATCAGCTTTGACTTTTGCTTAGTGAATGCTTTCAAAGTTCATTCATCTATAGTATGGCATGTATCAGGACTTTCTTTTTATTGCTGAATATTTCATGTGTGAAAGTACCACATTTTACTTATCCATTCATCATTTGGTGGGTTGTTTCTGCTTTTTGGCTGTTACGAATAATGCTGCTAAGAACCCTTTTGTACAAGTTTCTGTATTGGTATATGTTTTCATTTCCTTTGGGTATATATACACCTAGGATTAGAATTGCTAGAACATGTAATTACTCTGTGTTAAAAATGTAAAATGGTCTAGTTGCTTTGGAAAATAGTCTGGCAGTTCCAAAACATTGAGGAACTGTCAGACTATTTTCCAAAGCAACTAGATCATTTTGCATTCTTAACTGTATAAGGGTTCTGGTTTTGCCACATGCTTGTCAACACTTGTTTTCTGTCTTTTTACATCCATCCTAGTGGGTGTGAGGTGGTATCTCATTGTGATTTCGATTTGCCTTTACCTAATGACTAAATGATATTGAGCGTCTTTTCATGTGATTTTTAGCCATTTGTACATCATCTTTGGAAAACTAATTGTTTGAGTCCTTTGTCTTTTTAAAAATTGGTCTTTTTATTATTAAATTGTAGGAGTTCTTCGTGTATATTCTAGACATAAGTACCTTATCAGGTATAAGATTTGCAAATATTTTATGCAATGCTGTGGGTTGTCTTTTCATTTTCTGTGGGTGTTCCTTGAAGCACAAAAGTTATAAATTTTGACAAAGTCCAATTTATCTGGTTTTTTCTTTTTCTGCTATGTTTTGGGTTCATGTCTATGAAGCTGTTCTTTAACCCAAGGTCATAAAGATTTACTCTTCTTTTCCTCTATGAGTTTTACAGTTTTCACTCTTAACATTTAGGTTTTTAATCTGTTTTGAGTTAATTTTTATATATTGTATGAGGTAGGGGTCTGACTTCATTCTTTTTCCATGTGGATGCCCAGTAGTCTGAACACCAGTTGTGGAAGAGACTATTCTTTCCCCATTGAATTGTTTTGGCAATACTGACTAAAATGAATTGCCCATAAATATATGGGTTCTGGATTCTCGATTCCATTACATTGGTCTTTATGTCTGTCTGTCCGTATGCCAGTAACACACAGTTTTGATTACGTTGTTTTGTAGTAAGTTTTGAAATTGGTAAGTGTGACTCTTCCAACTTTGGTCTTTCCTTGAAAAATGATTTTGACTATTCTGAGTCTCTTGTATTTCCGTATAAATTTTAGGATCAGCTTGTCAGTTTCTGCAAAAAAAGGCAGGTGGTATTTTGATAGTTGAGTCCATAAATCAATTTAGGTAATGTTGCCATCTTAGCTATATTAAGTCTTCAAATCTGTGAATACAGGATATTGTTCCATTTATTTAGACCTTTAATTTCTTTCAATGATGTGTGTACAATGTACAAGTCTTGCACTTCTTTTGTTAAGTTTATTTCCTAAGTATTTTTATTTTTTTAATGCTATTGCAAATAGAATTAAGTTTCAAAGCTAAAAATGTATTCAGGAAAAGATACTGTGGTTTTAATTATGTGTCAGTGCAATGAAATTATAGTTAGGTTTTTGGGTTTTTTGTTTATTTGTTTGTTTTTAATATTAAGGGGTAGTAGGGTCTTGCTATGTTGCCCAGGCTGGACTCAAACTCCTGGGCTCAGGTGATCCTCCCGCCTCAGCCTCCTGATTAGCTGGGATTACAGGTATGTACCACCGTGCCCAGCTTAAAGTGTAGTTTTCAAACTTCTATGTGCTAAAATTAGGGAAACATCTTCTGCCACTTTGATATAAACTAATTTTTTACAAGCCAGTTATATATATTATTAATTAATTAATCGTGATTCCTTCACCTAATATCATCCATTGGACTCAAAACTGATACCACTGAAGTCAGTGTAAAGGGAGCAAATTAGCAGGGGGAGCTGGATTTGAACATAGAAGAATATATTTTAAAATCAAACTGTAATATCAGCTAGATATATTGAGGTCATTGTTTTTATAGTACATTTATTTCTGCCATTCCACTGGCACCTTCATCACTTTTATTCATGGTGTGTTTGAACAAATCAGTACATAAACTCTATTTCATTGAATATTAACTATTATCGATTGTAAGTCATGGCATTTTTTTTATATACCAAATAGGTTTTTTTAAAGTTAATAATTAAGTTGATAAAGCCATTGAATGTAAGATATATCCTAAATTCAAAAATGGTAAAATGTGAAAAAAATAAATGTTTACATGAAAGAAAAATACAGTATAAGATCAAGAACACTTAATGACTCTACCCTGCCAATAGTTATATGTTCTTTCAGGTAATTTATTTTTATTTTGTTTTGTAACTTGTTTGCTTATAAAGATTAATGTTATATATATATATACATGTATTAGTATTAGTAATTTTTATTAAGGTTATTTGGGGATGCATATTATTTGACATCATGTAATAAAATTTTATGTATTAAACTTTTAGGTATTCTACTTATGGCAGCCTCAGAAAATGAGGATAATGACATTTTATGGTGTGTCAACCATGATACTTTTCCTTTCCAAAAGCCAATGATGGAAACCCAGGTAATTTATCCTGAGAATACTAAAGAAATGTTTTTTTAATTTTGAATGAAGAATATATGGTAAGAAACTTTATCCTTTGTTTTATTGCTATTTGCTTCTATAATATTATATCTTTAGAAATCTTATTGAAAAGAAATGTGTCCAGTTAATTCTTTGTTTTTTCTGTTTCACATTAGAAGTTATTATGGTAATCACTAAAAACATCCTTAAAGTAAAACATTGGAACCCTTTTAGAATGTTTCCCATAACATACCTGAAAATACATGTATCTTTTCTGAAATGATCATTGTCTCATTTAAATATAGTTTTTTTAGTTGTTTAATTATGAGGCTGTCCATTATAGTTCTGACTTAGAATTTTATCCTAATAATCTTTTTGTAATTTTGCCTAAATTTTTAAAGTTTTTTTTTAATTATAGAAATTTCCAAGCATACACAAAAGTTTGGTAAATTGAAACTCATATGAGAGAATTACCAGCATTTTTTTCCATTGTATTTCATTTTTCTTCCCTACGTATATAAACTCACACTCAGTTGTCTTTTGGAAGCAAAGACCACCACATACTTCAGGAAGTTGATGTAGTCTTCCTGGGTGAGGGACAAGGCTGCCATGAACTCACCCACTGGGCTCCCCCTCCACCTCTGCAGGCCACCCATCCTAGTCCCCAGCCCATGAGGTGCTAAGGGGAAGCCATGTCTCTTCTTCCCTTTGGTGTCCTCTGCCCACCTCTATCTGTCCTCCTATATATTCCTGCAGAGCCCCTAGAGGCTGCTGATCAAACCAGACAAACCAACCTCTACTGAGGTGTAAATGTCTGATACTGTGTGTTTGGAGCCATCTCTTCACAGGCATTTTTGATTCTAGCTGTCACTGGCTACTTTCTGGTGATTCTCGAACTTGAGCCCTTCCAGTTGTCGGGAGGGGAAAAAGGTGTAAGTAGGAGGAATAAAAACCTAACTTCCAGGGATAGCAGTATGGTTTCTATGAGCTCGGTGAAGTTTCTGACACAGTTCAAGGAGCTGGAGTAGAGACAGGAGGTAGATAAGGAGGTAAGGAGTGCCTTTCTTATTCTTTCCTTTATTCTTTGAACTTGACGGAGCACATACTATGAGCTTTGCTATGAACTGTGAGGATTCAGAACTTAGTAAGATATAAACTCTGTCCTGACTGGGATGCAGTGTTGGAGGAGGGTACAAGTTTGAATCCTGGCTCTACCTGCTCAAACCTTTGGCGAAGAGGACTTAATATGTTTTTGGCCCTCCATTTCCTCATCTGTAAGGGTTACAATAGTACCTACATCTGTGGAGTTATGGAATTAAATAATTTCTTGTGTACAAGGCATTCAGAACACTGCCTGGCACATAGGAAACACTCAATAAATGTTAACTTTTTTTTTTTTTAAGCGAATGCTATACATTATCATTTCAGTTGTATAATATGGGACTTCTCAAATAAATATAGACTTTTATTTTTTTAAAAAAACTACCAAGTATAATATATAAACTTTGATTAAATTCTAGATTTCCACAAATAGCTGTAAAAGACATTGGGACAATAGGGGAAATTTTATATTGCCTGGACATTAGATTATATTGGGGAATTGTCAACATTCTTAAATGCTGTAATGGTATCATGGTTATGTACGAGACCGTCATTATTGCACGAGATGCGTGCAAAAGTATTTAGGGGTGATATGTATGTCACTTACTTTTAAATGGTATAATAAAACAAAAAATATAGGAAGAGAGAAAAAAAGCAACTATGGCAAAATACTAACAATTGTCTGACAGGTATTAGACATATGGACATTGACTATATTTTTTAAATTTTTAAATGCTTGAAATTTCTTATTATAAAGTATTTTAGAGTATTAAAGCACTTTTTAAAAGAAAATATCTTAGCATGGAAAGCAAATATAATTTCAAAAGAACAAAAATCTCCATGTGGCCAGGTGTGGTGGCTCATGTCTCTAATCCCAGCATTCTGGGAGGCTGAGGCAAGAGGATTGCTTGAGGCCAGGAGTTCAAAATTAGTTTGAGCAACATAGCGAGACCCCATCTCTACCAAAAATAGAAAAATTAGCTGGGCATAGTGGTACACACCTGTGGTCCCAGCTACTTGGGAGGCTGAGGCAGGAACATCACTTGAGCACAGGAGTTTGAGGTTGCAGTGAGCTATGATGACGCCACTGCACTCTATCCCAGGTGACAGAGCAAAACTCTGTCTCAAAAAAACAAACAAACAAAACAAAAAAAAAGTAAAAGAAAAATCTACATGTCAGTAAAATATAAGCACTGAACCTACCAGTATAGATGAATCTATCCTGGAAAGATGGTAGAATATTTATTCTTTGGTTAAGAGAATTATAGTTCTAGTAGATAGTATTTACAATTTATCTTAAGAAAAGTTTGCCTTTGTCCTCTAGTATGAAAAAATTATTTATTGTTAATGGTATAGAAGATGCCTGATTAAAAGCAAAGGATAGAAAACTAAATACATACTTTTTGGAGTATTAATATTAATGTATTCTTTATTAAATCTACATTTATTTAGCAATTAAGTCTGTATTTTTTTCTTCTAGAAGCTTTTGCTTTATGTAACTTCAATAAGATAATTTAAAAAATTAATTCTTTTACATAGATGACAACCCGTGTTGATGGTCATTCTTGGGCTCTTTCTGCAATAGATGAATTGAAAGTAGATAAGATAATTACACCGTTAAATAAGGATCATATTCCAATAACTGACTCACCAGTTGTTGTACAGCAACACACGTTACCTCCAAAGAAATTTGTTCTCCTCTCAGCACAGGTATGTACATATTCTGTTATGGTAGAAACAAAAAGAAGAGAAGAAGTGATATTTAATGTTTTTGTCAAGTACACTGAAAGAGTTGCTTAATGAAATCATTTTCTTAAATACTTAGGAATTCTTACTCTTATAGTACTCTTAAGGAATACTTTATAAATATGAAAATGATACAAAAGAACCATCTCTTTGTAAGTGTTATGCTTTTTCTAAAGTAGCATTTCTATCACTGGTAGCAACATAAAATATAGTGTAAGCCAAGTATTTAATATATAATAACTTATATAGTTACAATATAATTATATGACCATAGTAGTGTATAGTAACTTATGTAAGCTAAGTTTTATTTTTAAGAGCAACCAAATATATTTCTTATAAGTTCTCACTTACTCAAAAACATTTCCTTATTATTTTAATTGTTATATAGTAATGCATTGCCAAATTCAAATGGTGAAACGGGAAGTATATACAATAAAATCTCTCATTCAGTCCAGGTCCCTTTCCTCCAGACACCCATGTTATCAGTATCTGTGTATCCTTCCAGAGATATGGTTATACAAACAAAACAAATATATTTTTAAACAAATGGTAACATATATACTGTTCTATACCTTGCTTTTTATATTTCAAAAATATATTTTGGAGACCTTTCCATATTCATATATGAAGTACTTTCTCATTCTATTTTATATTTCAAAGATATTTCTTTGTATGGATGTACCATATTTCACTAGGCCCCTATTAATGGATTATTTTTTTCTATTAAAAAATACAATCTTGTTGGCTGGGCACAGTGGGTGGCTTATGCCTGTAATCCCAGCACTTAGGGAGGGCAATGCAGAAGTATTGCTTGAGCCCAGGAGTTTGAGACCAGCCTGGGCAACATAGCATTACCATGTCTCTACAAAAAAATTTTATTAAAGAAGTTAGCTGGCCTAGTGCACATCTGTAATTCCAGCACTTTGGGAGGCTGAGGTGGAGAATTGCTTAAGCCCAGGAGTTGGAGGTTGCAGTAAGCTATGATCTGGCCACTGCACTTCAGCTTAAGTGACAGAGCAAGACCCAGTCTCTCAAAAAAAAATCCAGCGTTGTGCATATATCATTTCACATGTATGTGAGTAAAGCTGTGGTATCACATCTGCTCAGTCAGAGTGTATATGCTTTCACTAGCGATGTTTGTGGATGCTTGTTTCCTAGAAGCCTCTCTCAGTACAATATGCTGTGTTATTAAGAGATTGACTGTCTTTTCAAGTATTTATATTTCTGTGAACTGTCTATTCCTATTTTATGCCTACTTTTCTATTGAGTTGTCATTTTGATTTATAAAATCAAAATTTATTAGGATTTATGTATCAGGGAAACTAACTTTTTTTTTTTTATTTTTAGCATCAGTTATTTTTCCTGGTTTGTCATTTGATCTTGTTTATTGAAATTTTTCCCATACAGACAAATTTATAAGTAGTCAAAATTACCAATTGTCATTTGGGATTTATGTCAGAGCTAAAAAGCTTCCTCTAAGCTTCATAAAAGAATTCACTTATAGTTTCTTCTCCTTTTCTTCTAGTATTATAGTTTTATTTTTTTACTTTAAATTTTTTGATCTGTTTAGAATTTATCCTGGTATAAGGTATGAGTATGGGTCCAGCTTCATATTTTTCTAAATGGATATACATGGTAACAACATGATTAATAATCTGACTTTAATTCTTTGGTTTGAGGGGCAGCTTTGAGAGAGGTAGTGTTTTCTTATTAAATTTTCTCTGTGGATATATAGATTTAGTGTAGGTTATAAGTTAAAATATAGATGATATTTTTGACCAGTTTACTTTGTATTCTTGAAGGTATTTTTTGTTTGTTTCATTTATTTTATTAAACAAAGTAACAGGGTCAGTTGCTACCAGCCAATTTTGGTAAATCTATTATTCATATTCTTTTTCTTTTTTAAAAAAATTTCTTAGGGGAGTCTTATGTTTCATAAACTCAGACCTGTAGATCAACTGAGGCATCTCCTTGTGAGTAATGTGGGTGGAGATGGAGAAGAAATTGAAAGATTCTTTAAATTACATCAGGTAATTACTTATACTTTTTGAAAAATATGATGATATTTTAAACCATGAAACAGTGAGATTGATAGTTAAATTTTACATAAATTGGGACTAAAATACTGCAATAAACAGATAATCTTAACAATATTCCTTTCTTCGCCTAAGTCAAATGTATACCAACATTTGAAAGCAGGATTAATATGTTATAAGTTCCACAGTAAATTCTCAGCTTTTTATTCTCTGTTGTTGATAATTTTTTATCATTAAAGTCTACTAGTAAGAGTTCGATGTTCAAGTTATTTGATAAATGCATCTTTATTAAAAGCACAAGACATTTATGGATAAGTCCCTTTTTGTTCAATTCTTTGTTTTGGCTTAATGACCTGAGGAAGAAACTTGAGACAATAGTGTGCAGACCTTAGTAATCTGAATCCATAACTAGAGTTGAGGAAATGAAGTGGTTAGTTTAAAATATCGCATCAAAGTTAAGTATACAAACTCTGGATTCAAACCACCTGTGTTAAAAATCCCAGCTCCACCACTGGGGTAAATTACTTGAATTCTCTGGACTTCAGTTTTCTTCCGTGTAAAAAATGCGTTACATAATAATAGTATGTGATGGGAAGATTAATATGTGCTAAACTCTTAAATTAGTGTGTGACACTCGATATGTACTCAATATATGTTAGCATATATATAGCATATGTTAGCATATATTGAGTACCATATTTTCTAAGAGGTAGAAAGGCTACAAGAAGAAAATAAACCAGGAACTAAATCAGAATCTAGGTAAAAAGAAAAAGAGAACATTCTTTAATACTAGTGCTTATGATAAACTTTAAAACCATTAGTTCACTTCTCTTTTTAATACCAGCTAACTTCCTTTAGTCAGCAAATATTTATTGAGCATCTGCTCTGTCCTAGGTACAGATTTAAACACTGGACAGAGCAGTAAATAAAACTTCTTTTAAAATGTTTATTTTTAATATAGGGAAGATATTCTTCTTTTTACAGGAAGACCAGGCTTGTGCAACTTGCCTTATTCTTGCTTGCTCCAGTGCTGCCTGTGATAGAGAAGTATCTGCTTGGGCAACTCGGGCTTTCTTCAGGTATACGTCAGGGGTTTTTTTGGTACTGGGCCATTTTTTAAATGGTTTCAATACCAGAGGGATAGGTAATGGCTTTGCCAAACAGTTGAATGACTATGTAGACAAAGTACTAAAATATATTTATTTACAAAAGGATGAAATTATGATGTCGATGGAAGCAGCTAGATTAGCATGATTTATGCATTATTGCTCTATCTCTGGATTCTGTTCTCCAACTTCTTGTCTAGTCTTCTTTCCACCTCAGTTAAAATCTCATCTATCTTTCTTACTTCCCCAGACAGTATGCCACTGCTTTATGTGTATCATTGGTACTGAGGGATTCTGAATCACTTTAAGGAAACTTGGTATCAAAGAGATATTTTTATTTGGAAAATATTAGCTAAGAAGTTATAATGTGATTTGTTTAAAAAAGGTTTTTAAAGTATTGTCTAACCATAATCTAGTGTGAAGATTTTGATGGCAGTTACTCATTAAGTAAACTCTATGCATTGCACATTGTTTTTAAGAAGTTATCAGAATCCCTTATATTGGGGGTTATTAAATATGAAATGTCCAGTTTCGAATCAAAAGTGTAGTTTATTGTATCTGAAACAAGAAACAATACAATTAATCAAATTATGCGCCTAAACTATCTAGACAGTTTTGCCATCTTAATGGTAGCTCATTTATGCCAGCAGTGAGGAACCCTGGAGAACAAGTGGCGATGAAATTGCGGAAGGCGTTTTCCACAGCTTATAGAGAATTGAATATTTTTCCTTGCCAAGAAATGGTCCAAAGCCTGGGAGAAGCAGTAGTCAGTTGGTGCAAGATGAATACAGTGGATAACAGAGAGTTTCCAAGTCCAGCTTCCATAATTTGAGCAGCGTTGTTTGTGTGACATGCAGTCGAGTGTTGTCTTGCAAGAGGATTGGCCTGTCTCTATTGACCAATCTCAGGTGCTTAATCGCAAACATCCTCATCATTTTGTCCAGTTGGTTGCAACAGACATCCGCTGTAATCGATTGACTAGCTATAGTGGATAATTCCAGCACTGGACCACCAAACAGACATCATTAGCTTTTTTTGATGAATATTCCGTTTTGGACGGTGTTTCGGTACTTCATCTTTATCCAGCTATTGTGTCTAGCTAACGCTTGCGATTGTCAAAAAAAATCCATTTTTCATCACATGTAATAATATGTAGCAATGATTTGCCTTTATGTCATGACAGCAAAGAAAGGCAAGCTTCAAGATGATTTCTCTTCTGATGCTTGTTTAATTCATGCAGAGAACCCATCTATCCAGCTTCTTTACCTTGCCGATTTGTTTCAAATGGTCCAATATTGTTGGAATAGTAAAATTAAACCTTGCTGCTAATTCATACATAGGTTGAGATGAATTTGCTTCCTCTACAGCTTTCAGCCATCATTATCCACCTTGGTCTCAGGTCTCCCACGTGGCTCATTTTCAAGATTAAAATTATCAGAATGGAACTTCTCAAACTATCCACATACTGTGTGTTCATTAGCCACATTCTTCCCAAACACTTCGTTGATAACTTCGCACTGTTTGCACTGCATTGGTTCCACAAAGGAACTTATATTTGAAAATAAGACTAATTTTTGATTCCATGGTTTCACAAAAATTGCTCTAAAAAAAAAAAAACCATGAAAGATAATCACAAGCCAAATGCGTGTTTGTAAGATTGGAGGATGCACCTTCACAATAAAAATAAAACAAGAAGTGTTGAAGTGAAATGTCAGAGATATCAACTCTCAAATTTAGTACTTAAGGAAATTGGACATTTCATACTTAATAACCTAATACTTCTTCCTGGTAGCAGTTTCAATTCAACATTTACCAAATAAGTATTTACTATGTATCATATGCATATATTTCACTGTCAGCACAATAAAATGTCCAATACTTAAAGCATTTATTTTTAAGCTAAGGACTAGGAACAAGTCCAGCTTTAAAGATGGATGGTTTTACTGAATAAACTCAGCCTCTTTTGTCATAAAAATAGGTATGGTGGTGAAGCGCAGATGAGATTTCCAACTACTTTGCCCCCTCCGAGTAATGTTGGTCCCATCTTGGGGTCTCCTGTCTATTCTAGTGAGTATGAAACGTTAAAATGAAATTGTTTATAATAGTTTGAATTTTAGAAACTTTCCAGCATATTTTAGTCAATAAATCTTTCATTATCTTTTATTTATTGCTACTGTATTATTGGTAAATAAGTCTACAGATGCTGACTCTTAAAAATTATATATTAATATTGAATCCTTAATGTATACCGGGGAGCAAAATAAAATATATCTAATAGTATTTACAGAACTCTTGATATTTATTCAAAGGGTAAAAGATGAATGATTTAATAACAAGAAACCCTCACAGTAGTGTTTTTTAAAGTGGAGATTGTTAGAAAGTTACTGGGAAATGAGAGAAGTCCCTAATTCTTAAATATATCATAGGTGATGCCAGTCCTTCTTATACTTAGAAATGGCTTCTGTGTGCCTAATTTGATCAGATTGAAAAAGTTGGGAGATTATTTTATAAATCTTTATATTCTTCTTTCCTTTTTTAGGTTCTCCTGTTCCTAGTGGTAGTCCTTATCCGAATCCATCCTTTTTGGGAACACCATCTCAAGGTACATCTTTTTCTCTATTTTGGATTGCTACTAATGTTCTTTTTGAAGAGTTAACATTATGAGTTATCCTTAATGGTAAAGATTAACCTTTACCTTAAGGTAAAGATTAATTTGCCTTATTCCCTTGAAAATAAGTGTCATTTAATATAAGTGACATCCAAGCAAATATTAGTATTTGGCCATGAATGCATTTAAGAGCTCCTCTAATAGTGTGCCTGCAAAGCCCCTTATTTGGGTACCAGTATTTAATTCGGGCCTGAAATCTGTATAATTAGTTCTATTTCTCTCTCAGCATTAGGAAAAGTGATTCCATGTTTTTTTTCCTTTTCATTCTGCATTGTCAATACTTGAAAGTCTACCTAGGACCACCATCGAAGTTTAAGTCTCTCTTCTGATTAAGGACAACCAAATTAAATATCTATTTATTCCATTATTTTTGTAACTATTTCTACCTTTGTGTCCAGATACAACAATTTGGGTTATTGAGTATTCTGAATTTTTAAAGTTATATTTTTAAAAGACTTGTGTTTCTTATGTGTGTACAAGGTATACAGCCTCCTGCCATGTCAACTCCAGTGTGTGCTATGGGAAACCCAGCAACTCAGGCCACAAGTATGAGTTGTGTGACTGGACCAGAGATTGTGTACTCTGGGAAACACAATGGTATTTGCATTTACTTTTCTCGAATCATGGGGTAAGATTTTTACGGAATAATTAACTATTGCTCACCTTGTCCTATGTTGAGTAAATGTTTTTAACTCTAAAATTTGGGACATCATTTATTAAATTTTACTATGCTTGTAGTTTTAATGCACTTGTCTACTAATAAGATTTTCTATCATTCAGCCTTTTTATTATCTAACTATATTCATTGCTGTGTTTTATTTCTCTCCCCACCTTCTTTCTCTCTGTCTCTCTTTCTTTCTCTGTATATGTATGGTAGCATCAAAATACAGCTGGTCTTTGAACAACACAGGGGTTAGGGCCACTGACTCCCTGCATAGTTAAAAATCCACGTATAACTTTTATCTCCCCAAAACTTTAACTACTAATAGCCTCCTGTCTAGAAGCCTTACCGATAACATAAAGAGTCAATTAAAACATATTTTGGACTGTGCACAGTGGCTGACGCCTGTAATCCCACCACTTTGGGAAGCCGAGGTGGGAGGGCTGCTTGAGGCCAGGAGTTTGAGACCAGCCTGAGCAACATAGTGAGACCCCGTCTCTACCAAAAATTGAAATTAACCAGGCATGGTGGCACATGCCTGTAGTCCCAGCTACTCAGGAAGCTGAGGTGGGAGGATCACTTGAGCCCAGGAGTTTGAGGCTGCAGTGAGCTATGGTTGTGCCACTGTACTCCAGACTGGGTGACAGAGTGAGACTCTTATCTCAAAAAAAAAAAAAACCACATGTTTTGTATATGTATTGTATATTATTAAAGTAAGCTATAGAAAAGAAAATGAAATGTTATTAAGAAAATCAGAAGGAAAAGAAAATATATTTATTATTCATTAAGTGGAAGTGGGTCATCATAAAAGTTTTCACCTACGTCATCATAAATAGGCTGAGGAAGGAGGAAGAGGAAGGGTTGGTCTTGTTGCATCGGGGTGCCAGATATGGAAGAAAATTTGCGTAGAAATGGACCTGTGCAGTTCAAACTTGTGTTGTTCAAAGATCAACTGTAGGCCGGGCGCGGTGGCTCACGCCTGTAGTCCTAGCTCTCTGGGAGGCCGAGGCGGGCGGATTGTTTGAGCTCAGGAGTTCGAAACCAGCCTGAGCAAGAGCGAGACCCCATCTCTACTAAAATTGGAAAGAAATTAATTGGACAACTAAAAATATATAGAAAAAAAAAATTAGCCGGGCATGGTGGCGCATGCCTGTAGTCCCAGCTCTTGAGCCCAGGAGTTTGAGGTTGCTGTGAGCTAGGATGACGCCACAGCACTCTAGCCCGGGCAACACAGTGAGATTCTGTCTCAAAAAAAAAAAAAACAAAAACAATCAACTGTATATCTATATAGATATTAATATATAGTGTTTCAAATCTCCCCATAACTCAGGACGTGGCTATAGGTCAAATGGGCAGTTTTGGTCTTGCTGGACTCACTCATGCATTTGCAGTCAACTGTGAAGTTAAGTCTGCTTGTCTTGGCTACAGTCTCGCATGTTTAAGGTCATATTTGTTAGCTGATCTAGAATGGCCTCAGCTGAGACGAGTGGGTTGTTCTCCACATGATCTCTCATCCTCCAGCAGGCCAGCAATTATTAGCTTGGTGGTGAGAGGGTTCCTCGAGAAAGTAGAAACGCGCAAAACCTCTTTATGCCTGGGCTCAAAACTGGCCTACCGTTCTCTTTTCTGCATCACTCACTTGGCCAGAAGGAAGTCTTAAGGCCAACCTACCTTTTTGTGGGAGAGGCGTTAAAGTCACATTGCAAGAGAGATAGCTATAGGGAGAGAGAAAGAATTTTGATCACTTTTGCAATTAGTCTACCATATCATCTAATTAGCTATGTTGTCTAGTATATATTTTCCTTAGATTTGAGATGTATGATTTCACATCATTTGCTTAAAATGTGAAACAGTGCCAAACCACTTTATTTATATTTTTCATTACAAGATCCCTGTTTACGATTTAGTACCCAAAGGCTTTTGATTTTTCTTCAGCAGTATTTTGTTATCTGAAGTAACTTAGGTCTGTCAGGTATGAAAATTTTCGTGTTTCCATTCTTCCAGATAACTTAGTAAAATGTTAAATGAAACCAGTGTAAAGTTTTTAAAAACCTAATAAAGCCATTAAATTTCTACAGACATGAATTTATTACGTAATGTAATCCTTTTATTAATTTACTGCACAATCATTAAAACATTTTTTTGTTCCAGAAACATTTGGGATGCTAGCTTAGTTGTGGAGAGAGTGTTCAAGAGTGGCAACAGAGAGATCACTGCAGTAAGTGTGTATGCTACTACTCTCTTATTTGTATGTAACCGCCTGATGGTATTAATTGATAGTTTCTTGTAACATTTCTTGATATTACACGAGCAAGATGGCAATGATTATTTGTTTATTTACAAATTTGTGTTCTTGTTCAATAAACTGCCCTCTGGGTTAAATCTCAGCTCTATCACTTATTAACTATCTGAACATGGGTAAATTTCTTAACATTTCAGAGCCTAATACCTCACTGTAAAATGAGAATAATATATCTCCCTCATAAGGTTGCTGTGAGGGATAAATAGTGCTAATATTTAATATTGCTCAAAATTTGCTATTTAATACTTTGACTTACATATGCAAAAACACCATGGACCTAGCACTAATTTCCATGAATTGGCATACCTTGCAGACTGCTTTAAGAAAGCATCTTGAAATTTATATTATCACAAATTCAGATAGTGAGATTTTGTAAAAGTCTAGAATATAAATGTAATCTATTTAAGCTTGTTTTCTTTTTAAAATGAAAAGATACCAAATATATTTTTGACTATGATATCTTTTTACAGTTGACATTTATAAGAATAGGAATGTATTTGCCTAACATAGTATACAATTCTTTCTATATGAAGTGTAAGAACATGCAAAACTAATCTATGGTGATAAAAGTAAAAGTGGTAACCTCAGAGGTGGGATGACTAATGACTAGAAAGAGACATTAGGAAACTTTCCTGGGAGTTGAAAATATTCTACATTTTAATCTGGGTGGTGACCCATATAAAAATGTAAGAAGTAATCAAAATGTTTGTCTTTTCCTATATGTAAATTATCAATCTTATTAGAACAGAAAGAGAGGAATGTAGTTATTAACTATTGCTTATAAAGATAGGGCACTTCAAAATTAAAATTGTTCATATTCAATTATAGCTTTACAGAGTATGTGTTTTTAAACTTTTAAAAATCTTTTTATTTGTGCAGATTGAAAGCAGTGTTCCCTGCCAACTGCTAGAGTCAGTGCTACAGGAACTAAAGGGTTTGCAGGAATTTCTAGACAGAAATTCCCAATTTGCGGGAGGACCACTAGGAAATCCAAAGTAAGAATAAATAGGGTTTACGTATTCATTTTTTCCTTTGTGTTGTATTTTTTTGTTGAGATATAATTTACATACCATAAGATTCATCCTTTTAAAGTATACAGTTCAGTGGTTTTTAGTGTATTTACAAAGTTATGCAACTATCCCCTCTATCTAATTCTAGAATGTTTTCATCACACCAAAAAGAAACCCTGTGCCCATTAATAGCCACTCCTCATTTCCCCTTTCCTAATCCCTGGCAATCACTAATTTACTTTCTGTCCCAATGGATCTGGCGACACTAGATATTTATATAAGTGGAAATGTTTAACATATGACCTTTTGTGTCTGCCTCTTTCCCGAAGCATAATGTGTTCAAGATTCGAATGTTGTAGCATGTAGTAGTACTTCATTTTATTTCCCAGTTCTTCAGGTGATAGACATTTGGCTTATTTCAGCTTTTGGCTATTAAGAATGATGCTGATACGAGCATTCCCATATAATTTTTTGTGTGGGTGTATGTTTAGAATGGACTTTTTTTTGTTAATAAAATGATATGGACTTTTCAGGGAGGGAAATAATATCACATCTGAGGAGTCACATCACTTTCCAGAATTGTTAAAGAACTATGACAATATAATGTTCTTAAAGCATATATAAATATACATTTCTTTAAAAGCAAAAATAAAGTCTTGCGTAGGTACACTTTTATGTAACATTGTTTATACTCATATATCCTTTCGAATGTTTCAAATTAATGGAAAAAAATATTTTACTTTTGTAATGGTTATATGCTATTCCATTATTTATATGCAAGCAATTGATAACTCCTTACTAATAATTAGATTGTTTCTATTTCTTGATGTTATAAACAGAGCATAGTGATTACTCTTTTTTCTTATTCAGTAATCTTTAGATGAATTTCTTTAGAAGGAGAATTATTGGGCCTGAGGGCTTTTTAAAGTGTTAATATGTAGTGTTTAGTTGTCTCCTAAGAAGGCTATACCAATTTTTTTTTTTATTTTTAGTCTTTGGAACACTTTAAGTGTATCTTGAACAGCATAACAATATATTTTTTTTCCGCTCTGTTGCCCTGGCTAGAGTGCAGTGGCATCATCATAGCTCACTGCAACCTCAAACTCCTGAGCTCTAGCTACCCTCCTGCCTCAGTCTCCCAAGTATCTGGGACTACATGTCCATACCACCATACCTGGCTAATTTTTGTATTTTTTGTAGAGACATGGTCTCCCTCGCTGTGTTGCTCATGCTGGTCTCAAACTCCTGGCCTCAAGCGATCCTTCTGCCTCAGCCTCCCATAGTACTGGGATTATGGGAGCCTACACATCTAGCCTACACACTTTAAATGGTTGAATTGTATGGTGTATGTGTTACATCTCAATAAAGCTATTAAAAACACATTTTCCTATTTCTATTTCAGTACTACTGCCAAAGTACAGCAGAGGCTGATAGGATTCATGCGTCCTGAAAATGGAAATACCCAACAAATGCAACAGGAACTGCAGAGAAAGTTTCATGGTAAATTATTGCTCCTGATCAGTTAAATGTACACGACCCCAGTAAAGTTTTATTACTTGAATAGAAAGCTATGGACTTCTTTTAGTGAGATCTAGTTCGTCTGATAACACAAATTTTTTTTGTTAAAATATCAATGTGACTGGCAAAGTGGGATAATATTTCTTTTAGCCCATACATTTTTGTTCCCTGCTCCACCAGAAAACATGATACATACCGTTTTCTTTTTTCTGTCTTTTTTTTATAAAGACAGTGTCTCGCTCTGTCACCCAGGCTGGAGTGCAGTGGTGCAATCATAACTTACTGCACCCTCAAACTCTGGGGCTTGAGCGATCCTCCTATCCTCCTGCCTCAGCCTCTGAGTAGGACTACAGGCATGGACTACCATACCCAGCTAATTTTTTTTGGTAGTAACATGGTCTCTCTGTGTTGCCCGGGCTGCTCTTGAACTTCTGGGCTCAAGTGATCCACCTTAGCCTTCCAAAACGCTAGGTTTACAGGCATGAGCCACCGTGCCCAGACACCTTTTTCTTTATGGTATTTTTTATTGTGGTGAAATATATGTACCATGAAATTTATCACTTTAACTGTTTTTTAAGTGTACAGTTCATCGATATTCAGGATATTCACATTGTTATGCAACCATCACCAACATCCATCTATAGAATTTTTTGCATCTTCCCAAAGTGAAACTCTGTACCCATGAAACAGTAACTCCCTATTTTCCCCCTATTGCGAGTTTCTGGTAACCACCATTCTACTTTCTGTTTCTGTGAATTTGACTGTTCTAGGTACCTCAGATGCTGGAATCAAACAGTATTTTTCATTTCGTGACCAGCTTATTTCACTTAGCATACTGTCGTCGAGGTCCATCGATGTTCTGTGATGTGTTAGAATTTCCTTCCAACACTGAGTAATATTCCATAGTATATATGTACCACACTGTTTATCCATTCATCTGCCGGTGGACACTGGGTTTCTTCCACCTTTTAGCTATTGTGAATAGTGCTGCTAGGATCATTGGTATACCAATTCAGGGCCCTGCTTTTAGTTCTTTTGGGTATATAACCAGAAGTGGAATTGCTGACATGGTAATTCTATTATTAGTTTTTTTGAAAAACTGCCATACTGTTTTCATGGCAGCTGCACTACAGCTAGCCAACATTTGTAACTTTCTGAGTTTTTTTGTTTTATAGTAGCCATCCCTTTGGGTGTGAAGTGGCATCTCATGATTTCTATTTGTATTTCCCCAATGAATAGTGATATACCTTTTTATAGAGCTAAATATATTAATATAAGTCAAATATTTAGTTGTGCTTTTTGTCTAGTATAAATAGTAACAAGTAAGGAAAGAGCAAGGGAACTGAGAAGTTCTCATAATTACCCATTATTCTGGTTATGAACTGGAATAGTAATAAATTCTTACATGAATTTTCCCTGTTATTCAGCTTCTTCTAAGTTCTTTTATCTTTTATTGTTAGGACCAATTATTCTGGCTCGTAGAACTTTCTTAATTGAGACCCAACAATTTACTTTTGTCCCAAGCCACATTCTTCTGTTCTGCTGACCCTAGTTCTGTATTTACCATTTTGTAAATTCTGTTTTCAGAACTGCTAATGATACTTAAGTAAGGCTTTAAGCTTGACATTACCAGGCATTGGTAAGGATTTGTACAAATGGGAGCATTCAAACTGCTGGCAGTTTATACTGCAACAACCACTTTGGAGAGCAATTGATTATATCTAATAAAAGCTGAAAATTCACATACATACTTTAAAGCCAGTAGTTTCACTTCTAGTGGTATATCCTAGAAGAATCTTTATCAAACTTTTTTCCCACAGTAAGAAATACATTTTACATTATGACTCATGTTTAAAAACATAATATACCCATAACTGAAACAAAATTTCCTGAAATAATTCTGCCTGTGTTATACCCTGGTATTTCTTTCTTTTTTTATTCTATTTCCTATTTAAGGGATGGGAGTAAAGCTATCATGACTGACTAAACTGATTTTATGATCTGACAATGTGTTTTAATCCACGATTTGAGAAACTCAGTCCCAGAGAACTTGACAGTATTTTCCAGGAGACCTTCTTTAAGCATATTTATCACATTATTATTTTAGTGTTAAAACACTGGGAACAATCTAAATGTTGTTCAGGTGGAAAATGGGCCAAATTGTGGTATATTTACATGATGAAACACTCAGCAATGAAAATAAATGTACTAGCTTTATGTTTATCAGTGAGGCCAGCCTATGGACATATAACTGGGCAAAAAAACAATGATGTAATTGTTAAAAACACTGCAATATTTTTATTTATGTTTACACACACAAACATGCAGAAGCACGCATATATATACACAAAAACAAGAATACAACAACTGATGATTATGATCGCCTATGATGTGGGCAGAGAGGAGAACAATGGGGATTTCGACCTTAACAGTAGTTTTTATTTGAAATAAAACAACTTATCCAGGATAAGTTGAAGTTTTATAAAACTTCATTAGTTGTGTTTTATTATTATTAGAGGCTCAATTGAGTGAAAAGGTTTCACTTCAGGCAATCCAGCAATTGGTTCGAAAATCATACCAGGCTCTGGCTTTATGGAAACTTCTCTGTGAACATCAATTCACTGTCATTGTAGGAGAACTTCAGAAGGTAAACTTATCTTTTTTTGTTTAAGATTGTACTGTTAATACTGTGTTTGTTTTCTTTTGCATGACTTTAATCTTACATTTGGGTTTGGGAGGGGATTATTTTGGGAAGCATTTAGATTATGATAAACTTAGTATGTTTTAGGAAGATTGCACAAAAGCATGGTAACTTCTGGAAACCACTTTGTCAAAAACACAAGTGTTTATAGTATATGAGAACTTTATAATGGTATGTGAATGAAATCTTTCTTCACGAAAAATACGGTCACAGTGGATTGTGACCTTTATTTGAGCTACAGATCCCTCTGAGAATCTGATAAAAAGCTCTCTTTCACCACCCTAAAAGAAATGCATATAGATACTTAACACAGATTTTTGCATATAATTTCAAGGGGTCAAACAACCTAAGTTAAACACCCTTACTTTAAAGGAAGATGTTTATCATTATGGGAAGTGAATGGTTCATATTTCTTTTGCTGTTCTCATTTGAATCCTTTTTAAGGATAAAGATAATTGGCATTCATCAAAATTTTAGATAGGACATTTGGAGGAAATATATTCCTACCTTTTATTGAATTGTGAACATTTGTAAATGTGAAAGTAGAGCAAAAACTAACAATATCTCCCACATACACTTGACTCATACCCAACATTTTCAAGATATTAATATTTTACCAGCTTTGCTTAATATATCCTCTTTTCTCTTTTTCTTTACTGAATTATTTTAAAATAGATTCTAGGCATCATGTCATTTTACTCCTATTTACTTTATACTGTGTATTTAGAAATATTGTGTATTTCTTTTAAAAAGATGGACATTTCCTTGAATAACAACAGTATCATTATCACACTTTGCAGTATTAACAGTAATTATTGTAGCATCTAAAATAATGAAATTTCCCTGTCTTAAAAATATCTTTTAACAGATTGGTTCATTCAAGTCAGGATCTAAAAAGTTGGTTGACTCATTGAATTTGATTGTTGTTTCTCTTAAATCTCTCTCAATCTAGAGCAGACTTTCTTCCCTTTTTTTTTCTCCTTGCTATTGCCTTGTAGAAATTGGATCATCACTCATGTAGAATGATAACAATATTCCAAGGTGGTTTTTTACCTTCCTTGAGAACTTGTTCCTGTATCTCCTGCATTTTCTACTAAATGGAAGTTAGATTTCTGTAGGCTTGATTAGGGTTCAGTCCATTTATTCGAGGAAGAATAGAATGCTTCGTATGTAGTGGTTTGTTTATCAGGCTATTTATTAGGGGACACAAAAGGTTTGGTTATTCTGCTTTTTAGTAATACTAAGATCGATTGCTGGATTCAAGTGGTAAGTCAAATTCTGCTGTTATAAAATTCTCCATCAGACTTTTATCAAGCTTTCATCATCTATTGGTAATCATTGCTGGAATTCGTTATTTCATTATTTCATTTAGGATTACAAAATGGTAATTTTCTGAATCTTTGGTTCCTTCCACAGTTTTTGTTTTGTTTTGTTTTTTAAAGACGGGGTCTTGCTCTGTTGCCCAGGCTGGAACACAGTGGTGTGAGCATAGGTCACTGCAACCTCAAACTCCTGGGCACAGGCCATTCTCACTCAACCTCACTCAGCCTCCCAAGTAGCTAGGACTATGGATGTGTGCTACCACATCCAGCTAGTTTTTGTATTTTTCATAGAGAGATGGGATCTCGCTATGTTGCTCAGGCTTCTTTCCACAATTATTAACTGCACTTCTATAAAAAATAATTTTCTTTGCCCTTGAGTGCTATTTGATTACCCTGAAATGTTTTATGTTTTGTGTGGGGTTTTTTTGTTTGTTTTGTTTTTTTTCGAGGTAAGGTCCTGCCCTGTCGCCCAGGCTGGAGTACAGTGGCATCCATCATAGCTTACTGCAACCTCAAACTCCTGGGCTCAAGCACTGCTGCCTTAGCCTGCCGAGTAGCTAAGACTACAGGTGCGCTCCACCACACCTAGCTATTTTTTACTTTTCGAAAGAATGAGGTCCAGCAGTGTTGCCAAGGCTAGTCTCAAAACTCCTGACCTCAAGCAATCTTCCTGCCTTGGGCTCCCAAAGTGCTAGGATAATAGGCATAAGCCACCACACCTGGCCAATTTTAAGTACAATTTTTCAGATTTAGAAGGTAATTCCCTAGTTCTTTCCGGTAGTGTCCGATGAGTAGTTGTGGATTTTTTAGTTGGGATGGTTGTTTTTAAAGCACAAAAATTTTTTTCTCCTTTTTAAAAATTCAAGCTAATATGTTTAATTATGAAAACTGTTTTCTTTTTCATGCCATGTAGAATAATGATTTTGAGTTTTATTGGTTGATAAACACAATGTAGTAGGTAGGTTTTTAGCCTAGGTATTTTTTGTGGTCCATCTTCAAAGGTTCCTTCCTTGCACGGGCAATTTTGTATTCAAGGAATACAAATTAAATATTTGTTCAAAAATCTGAATACAGTTTGGGTATTTGCTGAAATTTAGAAAAAAGAAATTGTAATCTATTCACTAAACAGAATGTTTTACTGTAGTATAAATCACCTTAATACTTTAGAGCTTCATTTTAACAAGCAGATTTGTTCAAAATGCAGGTCAAACTCCAATGTTAGAATGCCTTGAATAATAGAATTCAAACATTATTTAGGAAAAATAAAATGTAAGCCTGAGATTTGTCAATGTAGCCAAGTGATTGTTTTATCCTGGTTATAACTAAAGTCAGGAGACCTGGCTTTAGTTTTGGCTGTACCTGGGCTTTACTTAACTTTAATTTTATAAAGTGAGAGGTTTGGACTAGACTCACCATGGGTTCTTTTCCAACTCTATGTGATTTTATACAAGTTGCAAAAATTTGGTTCTTTAGCATATTTTCTCTTTTGAATTACAGAGTCTGTTGATGTTTACATTACTTTATTAAAATAATTTCATTCTGTGTGGAAATAAGATATTGCTATAATTTTAATATAAAAGAGTTTTCTCTTATACTTCTAGGAATTTCAAGAGCAGTTGAAGATCACCACCTTTAAAGATCTCGTAATCAGGGATAAAGAACTCACAGGGGCATTAATTGCTTCTCTTATCAACTGCTACATCAGAGATAATGCTGCTGTTGATGGCATTAGTTTACATTTACAGGATATCTGCCCACTTCTGTATAGCACTGATGATGCAATTTGTTCTAAGGTATGGTACTTTGTTACCTATTTCAGTGTTTCTTACAGGAGGTGTCACCATATCACAAAAAGCATACTAAAATGGGAATCAGGAGGTGTCTTATTTTACTTGATATATGACCTCAGTCATGTAGCTCTCTTAACCTCCCCTGGCCCCAGAATCCTCATCCGTCTAAGAAATGGGTTAGAATACATGGTTTCTTATAATCCATGTGTACTCTTTGAAGTTTTTCACAAAGAATCTTTGATAGTGTTTCTAGGCCATATTAAAAAAGACAAAGGTTAGAAATAAGAAAAATCACGAAATTTAGAAATTAAGGAAATAAAGCCATTAGAGGATTAATTTCTCTCATTAGAAGTTAAAATTGATAAAACTTTAAGTAAATCTGTGATGAATTACAGTTAATGGGGCAATTTTTATTGATCCTTTCCTACAGGTGGAAAAAAATAAGTAAATCAGTGTTGCATGGACTGCCTGCTGACCAATAATGTATTGACTAGGCAAGAGAATTGCCAGACAAAAGCTATTTTGCTTAACATGTTTGTGAGAGGAATTAAAAATAGCTAGCATTTTTTGGTCAAAACTTTTCTGCCTAAAATTAAGAAGAAGTAAGTTTGTAGAGTTGTTTTTATTTCTAATGGTAATAAACCACATACAAATTTAGATATTGACTGAAACTTAACATTGACAACATCATCTGTCTACTTGATTTGATATCTTTTTAAGTTCTTGTCATCTCTTCTAGGCAAATGAACTTCTCCAGCGTTCCCGACAAGTTCAAAATAAGACTGAAAAGGAAAGAATGTTAAGGGAGTCATTAAAGGAGTATCAAAAAATCAGCAATCAAGTGGACCTTTCCAATGTTTGTGTTCAATATAGACAAGGTGAGGAAAAAAATGTTCTTC